GGATAAAGGAAGGTTTCCCTGAGAAAATAACATTTGAACATTTGAGCAAAGGCCAGAATGAGAAGGAACAAATCCTACAGATACCTGGGGGAAGAGCTTTTCAAGCAGAGGAACAGTAATTGCAAAGTCTCTGAGGTGGGAGCATACCTAGAATGTTCAAGAAACAGCAGGGAGGCCAGTGTCACTGGGGAAGAGTGAGGACTTCGTCACAAAACAGGCTCCCTTTCACCCCTTCTCAAGTGAGTCTGAATATTCCATCAGAAAATTTTCTCCTTTAGGAATCGGGGTGTTGAGGTGGAGTGGAATATACATTCCTGATCTAGGGAAGAGAAAAAAAAGGTTTTACCAGTTCAAGTTTCCCCATACTCCAGTGCTTGTCCCTAGGTTATCTATCCCTGGCTATGAAGTTGAGACAATGTGCCTATAGCCCCAGTGAGAAGATATTGATTATCATTTAATCAGCATATTTAGGGACTGCTTGAGATTTCAGGTCATGCAGATCTAAAGGATCTCTGACCCACCCAAAGGCAGAGAAAACAGGACCTCAGGCCCACAACTGAGGGTAAGATAGAAAGAACCAGCTCCAGGGGAGTGACTGCTTTGGGGAAACCCATGGCACTGATTTGCAGATGATACAGGTGAGAACCTCGGGTGTAATAAATAAATAAATTCCAGTGAGCTCTTACGTGTAAGTTCTTGACATGAAGGGGACTGAGCTAGAGCAGCAATGATGAATCCCTCCCATTAAGTTTCCAGTTTTCTCCCCTGAGTAACTGGCCAGGATTAGGGAAGGAACTGGATCTGAAATAGAAGTTTAAGTTATCAGATTCTCCACAACTAAGTTAGAACCTTCCAGAACCTTCCTACAAACAGCAGTCCCCAGCACCTAAGTCTGAAAATAAGGGCTAAATACCTGTTATTTTAAATAGTTCAAGAGCTTTTACACTGAAAGATATGGATAAAAATATTACTATACCTAGTCTCCCATTCCATACTCTCTTTCACTCAAAGCACCTCGTGCAGGAAATCATCTTCCTTGCATCCCACTCTTTTTGGAAGGGACTGATTCTGCCTTAATTTTTGTTGAGAGAAGAATTGAAAACATAGCTTAAAAGCTCTCTGTCAGAACTACAGTTCAGATCTGCTATTTCCTTGGTCTCCAGTTTCTCAGTGAAACACCTGGCCTGATATCAAAGAGTTCCCTTTGTAAGGCTACCTTAGAGGAGCAGCTCTATGGGAAAGAAACAGATACTCTGCATCTCCTTCTCTTTCACGAAGGGGACAGAGACTCTGGGTGTTTCAGGCCACTTTTTGCAGCATCTTTCAGAATTAAAAAAAAAAAAAAAAAAAAAAGGCCCCGCTTTGTGAAATACGGCAGAACGAATGAAGTAGAAAGGGCCTGGAGTTTTCCTTGAAGGACTGCTTCCTTGTGGGTCTCCTTGTTTCTTTTCAGAAATTGTAATCTATCGCCACCTGGTGGTCCGTCCCTCTGTCATCGTGTTTGGAATTGCAAGAACTGGGCGTCTTAAGATTTGCCCAAGATTTGCCCAAATACAAATCACTCTGTCCTCCTTGATTAATTTCTTTAATATTAGAATATTTTCATCTTTTGAGTATCAAGGGGGAAGGGACTATTTGACGATTATCTGAGGAACTCAGCTCTCTTTTTTTAGGAGAAAAGGTTGTAATTTCCGGAGTCCTCTCCAGCGTTCCGGCTAGAATTCTGCCTCCCTCGCCACAATTTTAACCCTTTCCTGTCTCCCAGGAGTTTGTGCGGTGGGGTCTGTTGGGGTAGAGGTGTCGATTTAGCTATGGTCTCCAAAGAAAGTCCAGAATTATTGGGGGAACTATCTTTAAAGCACGCAAACACACCGAATAGACCTTAGCTCCGACTTAAGAAAAGCCGAGTGTAAGGTTAACAACGCTTCCCACAGCCCTCGTCTCGGGAGACAGACGTTTAAACGGTGAGCACTGCCATTTTTTTTTCTCTCTTTTTCGGTCATAAATTAGATACTTAAAATAGACCTTAAAAAGCCGGCTGAAATAAGCCAACACCGTGGCTCTAAATTACCTTTCCTGCAGGCTAAAAATGCTAAATGCGTCAAAAAAAAAAAAAAAGATTGACGTTTCTTATTTACTCACCTTGACTTGGACCATGTTTTACGCATAAAAATCCCCGCAGCCCGTCTGGGCGACCCTTCCACGCCTTACTCTCCTCCCACCTACTCCCTTTTTTCCTTTGCCGAAAGGCTCGGCTCCAGATCTGCTTGGAATATCTTTAAACCTCCCGGGGAAAGGACGTTGTAGGTGGAGGGTCGCCTTCCCAAGTCCCAGCCATCATTGACCTAAAGGAAGGTTGTCCTTGGCAGACAGGATCGAGCAGCCGGGGCTGCAGGCTCGCGAACCCCGGGAAAGAGAAACCGGAGGGGTAGCGCTCGCCCACTCCTCCTTCTGCCTCTGGGCGTCGTGTTGCCATTTCTTCAAAGCCCTAAACCGTAGATCAAATGCAAACGAAACAGCTGGGCGGATACCACTCCCTTCCGGGCCCCACCACCACCACCGGTTCGAGTCCCTAGAGCGAATATCTTATTTCCACCCCCATTATTCAAAGCATCTTCCCCCGGGAGTAATAAAAGATAAAAAGAACAGTGAAAAACACAAACAAAAATACAGATTCCAAGTGTTCTGAAGAGCCAAAAGACAACTACAACTACTCTCCAGGCAAATTCTTACTGGGAGGAGAAGGCGGAGAGGGGCGAAATGCTGCCAACAAAGAAAAACAAACGCAGCAGTTACCACACGGGAGGGAGGCGGGCGCGAGCGACTGGCCAAGAGCTAAAGACTGAAGCTGACCTAAGGGAGGCTGAAGGGACTGAGGGGTGGGCGCTGTCCTTGGTGCTGAAAGAGTTGGGCCCCGCTCTGAACTCGATGCGGTGGAACTGTGTGGGATTCTAGGCCCACAGTTCCTTACCATGTCCGCTGAGCCCGAGTCTGGGTTAGAATGGGAGATAAATGGAAAATAAATCAAAGCCATGAATTCCTCAAGTCTGTAGCTCTCCCCGCCTAACTGGAATGTCAACTCCATGAGTGCAGGGATAATGTAAGTTGCTGGGACAGTGTAAGCTCCGTAAGAACAGTGCTTGGTACATAGTAGGTGATTAATAAATGTTCGTTTAATTACTAATATTTAATTAAACAATTTTAAATTAAAGACGAGCAGGAGCCTTCATTCCTCCACTTCCCCTCCATAAAGGAGAAAGGGAGGAACATCCTCGCAGCTGGACGGACTCAGCTTTAATTTCGATACCTGGTCTTGTAGGAGATTTCTTTTTCCAACGAGATTTTCTTGGCTAAAACATTAGGGATGAGCGTTTTGGACAACAGGGTCAGAAGAGGGAGTGGTTGGAAACTTCTCAGTCTGATGCCACAGGTGACAGTAAAAGAATCTTCCTTTCCAGGGAATTTCGACTCTTGGGAGAAGGTTAAGGAGACAGAGGGCGAGCGGGCATCTTCCTGGGACAGCGGACACGGAGGGACTTGGAGATTTGTCACCACCTTCCGCCTGTCTCCTTGCCCCGCGCATCTAGAATGATTTAGCACTGGCACCAAGCTCCCTGATTGGTGCAATCATCGCTTTTAGGCAGGCTCGAGGAGGGGGCGTGGGTGGAATTCCGCTCCTCACCTCGTAGTAAACCGCTCATTTCAGGAGTAGCGAAGAAGGTGCGCCGTGCGCAATTTGAAGAGATGTTTTCTGCGTGGAGGGGGCACGCCCACCCTGCCCAGCCGGGAGCTCTGGCCCCGGAGCAGCAGTTACCGCACGCCCGCCGTTCAGGATTCTTTTGTGGCCTTAAGAAGTGCCCGAGTTTTTATTGTAAGGCGGAGAGAGGGCGACAGTATTTTCTTTAGTAGCAAGGGCAACGCAGTTACTTCAAACCTCACAGCGAGATCCCTCTTATTGATGGGACTATGTCTTCTCAGGGCGGAATCTTCCGTCTCCCTTATGGAATTTTCAGTGATTTGTAAGATTTTTGGCATTCCCACTGTGTCATGGTGAAAGGCGATAAGACATTCAGAGAGAAAGGACGGGCCTCGGGTGGACCAGCAAGGCCGCAGACGTGTCCATAAATAACCCCCGCCTGCTGCACCGCAAGAGGAAAAAAATCACTGTGAAGCCGAGTAAAGGAATCACTAGTTACATGGGGTCACCCAGACACACACACAAAGATCCACTTTGTTTTGCCCTAAAGAAAAAGAAACTGAGGTAGAGGAAAGAGAACATAAATTAGCGACGAGGGTGGATGAGGGATGTCTTATAGAGGCAGGAGAGGAACAGAGCCTAGCCAGCCCCTCCAGGTGTTGGCTCCGGCGCGGGAGGAAAGACCAGGCTGGCAGAGGGCCTCTCGGTCGCTGGGCGCCTGGCGCCCTCTGGTGGAAAATTTTCCGTGAACGCCTGTTTATCGCAAGTGGCTTTTCCGAAAGCGGCAATTCATTAGGTATGCTTCAATATTGCGAAAGGAGAATCCTTAAAGCGTGAAATCGAAGGTGGAGTGAGGGGAGTGGGCCTGGGCAGGGAGGGCCCATCCGTCCCTACCCTCTCCGCCCCCCGCCTGGGGCCACCTCTGTGCTCGAGTTCCCCGTGTGTATGGAGAGGCGCTCGTGCGTGTTATTAACCTTCAGATGTGATCAATCAAGAGGACTTCTTTCTCCACCACCAAGGGGACCAAGCTATCAGGGAGCGCATAGGGGGTGGGCAATGGGACCCTTTTGTCTGCCGGTGGCACTGGGTAGCTGTGCTCAGGTGAGGTACTTTGACCCCACTCCCCAGCTGGATGAGGAAACTGGTGAAAAGGAGAGATGGAGATTCCTCCAGGGTCTGAGTGTCTCCCTCTGCTTTCCGCCTCCTCTGCTTTTTTACAACAATCCTGGCTCAGTAGAGAGCCAGTGAGGACAGGATCCAGAGGGAGTTTTCGCTTAAGGGAGCATCGCGGGGTCGCAGTACTGGGGGAATCGCGGGGAAAGAAATAGAGGCAAAGCCACTGCTCTTGTCTTTTCGAAGACATGGGAGGGGGAGGGTAAGGAGGAAGAAGCGCTCAGCGAGGCAGAATTCTTCAAAGGAATTATCTTTTCCCTCGTCTTACCCGACACCCTGCCTATTTCAAAAAATAGAGTGTGCTGAGTACTTTCTGGATTACTCATAGGGCCTTTTTTTTCCGGGCGCAAAACCGTGATCTGGATTTATAATCGCCCTATAAAGCTCCAGAGGCAGTCAGGCACCTGCAAAGGAGTCCCGCCGCTCTGCCGACGAGCTGCCCCAGCGAGCAGCGGCCTCGTGATTCCCCCGCCGAGCCGGTCCCCGCCTCCCCACTCCGCCCCCGCCTCCCCCGAAGCGGAGCAGCCGCCTCTCCGGATCGCTCTCTTCTCCTCCCGGCGCTCGCGTGCGGGACGGTGCTAGTGGGAGCGAGGCAGCAGCTGGAGGTGACGACGGGCAGATAACGCCTGTGGCAGGGCCCGGCGGAGCTGAGCGGATCGCTGGGCGCTGTGCAGAGGAGCGGCGGGAGCGCCAGGCTTGCTGTCGCCGAGCCGAGGTGGGTGAGCGCGCAGCCGCCGGCACTTCCCAGTGCCCAGCCTCGGCTGTTCAGCTGGGTCCTCTTCACCCGAGGTTTCTCGGCCAACCCCACCTCCGGCGACCGCCATCTACCCTCCCGAGCAGAGTGCCTCCCGCCCGCCCCAGTGCTGGCTCTCTCTTGGTGCGCCGCGCAGGGACCCCCGCCCTCGCACTCTTCGGTTTCGCACTAACGAGATTCACGCCCCGGGGACGCACAGAGGCTGAGGCTCGCCCTGAAGTGGAACGAGAGCGATTTTCCCCTGCGCTTCCCTGCTGCGAGCGCCCATCACACCGAAGGGTTCTTGGGCAGCAGCAGCCGAAGGCGCGACTCGGAGCAGTAACCTGTTACTTCCCCCAGAAGCCGCGGTTTACCTGCTACCTGCGTTGCTTTGCGAGTGCGCGCGCGGGGCTAGGTGTGGGGTCCTATGGAGGGTGTAGAGGCGGTGGCCGGCAGGTGCTACTCTGCGGGGTCTTAGATCTATCCAGATTCGCCCGCACTCTCTCTGTCCCGGGGCCTTCGGACGCCATCGCGCCAGCGCCGAGCGCCGAGCAGGGGCGCCGCACACGGATCCTTGTCCGCCGAGTCTGGCGCGCTGGGGACAAGTTCGTTTCACCGGTGACGTTCTCCTTTCTTGCCTCTTTCACGTTCTCCGGGTCTGTACCGCGAGAAATCTGGGGTCGTCGGAGAGTTGGATGGAAGGGAAACACAGAACCCCGGACCGAGCCTCGTCCTAGGCTTCGAGATAGCTTAAAGCGGAGTGGGACACAAGAGGGGGAAGAGCGAGGTTCGGGCCCGCTGCTTTCTAGCTGTCTGGTCGCGCAAGGTGACTGTAATTCCTCCCCGGCCAAGTCCGAGAGAGAACGTAAAGATATGGACCCTTTCTTCCTCTCAGCTTGTCTCACCTAAGTCCTGGGGCCTCGGAGCAGTTAGTCTCCTTCTTTCCAGGGAACTAGCCAGACACAACAGCGGGAACCAGACACCGAACCAGACGTGCCCGCCCTGTGTGCCCTCCCCCCGCCTGCCCGCCCGCCGGCTGCTGAGAGCCCAATGGGGCTTGTCGCGGCTCCGCTGGAAAATCGCGCAGAGCGTCCGTTGCCCTCCTAGCCCAATCCCCCGCGCCCTCGCGTCCTGCACTGGCGCTGGGCCCCCCTACTCTCAGCGCGGTGCTCCAGGTCACCCCGCTGTGCAGCCAGACTGGAGAGCCGCCCCGGGCTACGTTGCCCGCGACGGAGTCCCCGAGCTCGCGCACGCGTCTCCCCCTCCCCCAGGCGCACCTCGACCCAGCCCGCTAGCTGCCCTTCTTCCTGCCTCTCCCGTTCCCAGACTTCAGGGGGAGCGTCCGCGCTCCCGGCCGCTCAGTCGTCTCCTGGGCGCCGGACCCCGGAAGCCCTCCCCGCACAGCTGTCGCTTCTCTTTGCAGCGGGTTCCTGCGCCCGACCAGCCGAGGACCCCGGACAGCAGAGGCCCCGGGACGACCGAGCTGATGGCGTCTTCGACCCCTTCTTCGTCTGCAACCTCCTCGAACGCGGGAGCGGACCCCAATACTACTAACCTGCGCCCCACAAGTAGGTCCTGCCCTAGTTTCCTATCAAAAGAACTGCGGGTAAGATGGGGGTGCTGGGACGTGGGGAAGCTGCGCTGGCGGATAGGGAAGCGGGAGCGCGGAGATGATGAAGGCTGGAAAGAAATGGGGCCCTGACCCGGGTCCTGCCCAGAGGTCGTTCGACTGCCAGGGACGCTAGGCGATTCCAGGGCGCTGGACAGTGGGAACCACTCAGGGTCGGAGCGGCGGCGATCTTTGGGGGCTTCACTGAGGGGTAGGGACGGGCAGCGAGAGTGTTGTTTTTGCTGTGCTGCGTGTGGTTTCTTTTCTTGGTGGGACGAGGCGAGTCGGGGCAGGGGGCGATGTGAGGAGCCGGGAGTCCCAGCGGGAATAGAGAGTTCTGTCTCTGGCTTTCGTTGAACCGAGATCTGACCCCCTCCTTTCCCCCTGCGCTGTGCTCGAAGCCTATAATCAGCGGAAATTTCGACGTTAATTGCAGCTTTTAGAAAACTCGGGGTCCCTAATTGCTCCAAATTTGCGTCGAGCTGTTGACGAGTGAGGGAAAAGCCAGGGGCGAGAAAGGTGCATAAAACGGTTTGAGACTGAGCCTCGACATTTCAGACAATTAATTACATCTCAGAGGAAAGAAAAAAAGGAGCGGGCAGCATCCTGAGTGGCGAGTGGTGAGGAACTGCAAGAAGGCTGCAAGAAGGTTTGCCAGGGCGGGAGGAGAGAGCACCCCTCTCCTTTCTCCAGGGTAGGAGACTGTCAGCAATTGTGTCAATTGACACGTCTTGAAGAGAGAGGAAGAAAGGGGGAACCAGATAAAGGGGGTGGGGGAATTTACGGTTCCCCACCCGTAGCTCAGTGCGCTTCTCAACCCATTTCTAGAATCTGTCGTTAATTCAGATTGATTTTCTACCTTTCTGTAGAGGTGTGGGGATGAGGGAATTGTTTTGTTTTTCTTCTTCCAATTTGGATTGAAATGCCCTCACACCCCTCCAATCTATCAGCTCCAGACAATAACGTCCCTAGAATTTCTATATAAGAGGGGCTTAGGTATGGCAGTCTGGTTAGAAGGAGGGCTTATTGCTGCGTTTTTACGGCACTCTGTAAGCTTGAGAAAAGGTCAACTGTTCCCGTCAACGAAGGTGAGGGATGTTACCGGGTAAGCCCCTTCTCCAACCCCTTGGTGCTGTCCCTGGCTCCTGGGCCGGAGGCCTTGTCTTAAGTCTTTAGGCTGCGTTCCAGTTCCCTTTGCAGCGTCCTCTCCCCGCCCCCCAGGCGAGCTACAATTACCCACACAACAAAGAGGGGCTCCGGAGAGCCGCCAGCCCTGGTGGCACGTGAGCCAGGCACTGGCGGCCGAGCTGGCTGGAACAGGCCGGGAGGAACGCGAGGCCTGCACGCCTTTGTCTGTTGCTCCGGCCTTGGTGGATTTCTTTTCCAGCCCTCTCCACATTTCCCGCCCCTTTTTTACTGCCTGGCGGGGCTGGGCGGCGGATGTGTTCACCCACCCTTGAGTACTGCACCCCACCGCCGACCCGGGCTCTTCCTTCCTGGCGGCAGCCCGCGATGGAGCGCGTATACCGACTCCGGGTCCGAGACTCAGTGGAGGCGCTAGCCAGAGTTCGCACTTGGCCTGGCGCGCCTGGAAGCCGCCGAGGCGGAGGGAAGATAGACGAGGCCCGGCGCGGGAGGAGCACGCAGCACCTGTCCTGAGAACGCTGCCGCCCGCCCCCAACAACTCAGCGGCGGCGTGAGCATCCCAGGCTGCGCGCGCGCGCGGGGCTGTCTACCCGCTTTCTCCCTCCCTTGCAGACACACCCTCGCCGGCCCAGCTGGCTCCGCTTCTCTGCCCCTCCAAGGTCTCCTGGGAAGTGGCCTTGCTCAATCGCACAAGCTTACTCGGCCTCTTTCTCCAGCGACCCCCTCCTCCTTGCCCTCCGCCACTCGTCTTCCCGACCCTCGGTACATCAAAGGGGCTCTCTCACTTCTCTCCATCTCTCCTTCCCTTTCTTTCACTGTAATCCCCAACTCTGAAAGGCAGTGAAATGGGTCTGAACTCCAAACGCCCCAGCTGAGTGACCTTGGATAACTCGCTTAACCTCTCTGAGCCTCAGTGTTTTTATTTGTAAAGTGAGTCTCAGATTAACACTCGTCTTGTTTCGTAGGGTTGTTGTGAGGATTAGATGGTGTTTAAAATGAAAGCACTTTATCGGGTGGAAACAGCTCTTTACCCGCCAGGTATTATTATTGGGGTTTTGCTTTTGCACCGATTTCCTGTCTGTCGCAGGAACTCCATCTATCTGTGACATGCTGTCTCACTGGCGTGGGGCTATTTCTTCTACCGGCTGGGGATCTGTTGTTTCTCGGGTTAAATGGATGTCACTCTCCTTATCGCAGCCAGCACCCGCGCCGGGCTGGAGGCACCGGCCGGGGTGGGGTGGGGCATGGGAGTGATTGAAGGCGCTTTGCTTTGAGGGGTCCGAAGGAAATTTCACACTGGGCCCTCCACGCCGAGTGCGGGCTCCGCAGGCAACTCAATGCAGGCACGCCAATGCTCTTTGCTGGAAGTTGAACCCCGAGGACAGGATAGACCCTGAGGAGTTTAAGAACAGCCTGGTAAAGAAGGAAAATACGGCGCCTGAGCCCGCGGTTTGGACCCACAGGAAAGATGCCTGTTTCCCTTCTCCTTCGCCTGTTCCGGATCCGAGATGTCCCAGGGAAGGGTTAACAAGGGGCAGATTGGGAAGATGGGACCAGGGATGAGGACGGGAGGCGCACCATTGTCTTCCCGACTCCCCGCGGTCCGACTGGAGAGCAGCCATGCGAGCCCGATCATCTAGTCAAATACTATTTTTCACCCAGGGATGAGGACGGGAGGCGCACCATTGTCTTCCCGACTCCCCGCGGTCCGACTGGAGAGCAGCCATGCGAGCCCGATCATCTAGTCAAATACTATTTTTCACCCAATTAATTCCTGAACTCTTCCGCGACCCCATTTCATGCCAGTTTATTTTAAGCTGCCACTCGGCTGGAGACCCGCCAAGAAATTATGAGACGTTTTGGTCCCAGATGCCTGTGTGTTCCCTTTCCGGGCTACTGTGGTCGCCCTTCGAGTCTGCGGGGCGGAGACCAAGGGACAGGGCCTGGAGGGTGGGTGCTGGGCAACTAGCGCGGCGGGGCCTGGCACTTTGCACGTGGGGTCAGCCCTGCCTCTCTCCCACCACGCCTCCTCGGCTTTCCCGCGGGGATTACTAGGAGGCCGGGCTGGGCGCTGGGTACGCGGCCTCTCAGAAACACTGTTCTTTACCTGAAGGTGGGAGCAGGAAGGGAGTACGATGGGGCCTCGGAGGGCACGAGTGTGCCCCCTGGCCCACAGTTCTGGCTCCTTGCTCCTTTCAGGAAAAAGCTTTTAATGAGGAGCACTGGCGAAGACCTGCCCCCCACCCTCTCCAGAAAACCTTTGCCCTCGACCAGGTCCCATGGTCCAAGCCTCACTGATCGCATCTCCCTTGCTTTCTAGCGTATGACACCTGGTGCGGCGTGGCCCATGGATGCACCAGAAAACTGGGGCTCAAGATCTGCGGTAAGTGAAAGGGCCCGCTGGGGTCCGCTAGAGCTTCGCGGCGCGCGGTCTTTGCGGATTTGGGAGAGTGGGACGCACGCTAAAGGGAATCTCGGCTCTTGGGTCTGGTTTTCTAATGTACCTAGAGCCCCCACGCCCGGCGCAGACGCTCCTCTACAGGCCTTGACCCTCCCCTGCCCTCCTCTGACTCTGCCCCGAGGGACCTTTTCCGCTGGTCCCAGACTCCCTGAGACCGCGGGGCTCCCACTGTCTGGGCGCGAGAGCGTGAGCACTGCGCCCTCGCGCGGCAGCCCGGCTCTTCTCGCCTGGCGCCAGGGCCGCCTCGACCGGTGGGGTCTGCTTGCCCTTCCCGAAGGTCGAGTAGAAAAGGTGAACTGGTCTGGCTTTCCTGGAGAGCAGGCCTAAGACGCGGTATCTGCCTAAGGCGGTGGCTGACACGTCGTCTCCCTTCCTTCTCCACCATCGCACGTTAAAAGTGGCCTCCCGGCTTGAGATTTTTGGCCTGAGATCATAACGGATTCAGATTTCATTTGGGGGCCTCGAAGGCCAAGAGAAAGGATCGCCTGCAGCCCTCTGTGGCCTGCCACGGGGAGGTGCGGGCGGCGCAGGCCCGAGGGTTTGCCGAGCTTGCCCGTGAAGGAGAGGAGGGAAGGAAAGGGGGCAGCGGGGTCGTGGGGCCGCAAGAGGAGAAAGGGGTGTCCGGCACAGTTTGCCAGAGAGGAAAGTAAATAGATCTGGGAGCTGGAGAGGAGAAAGAACTGCTCTCGAGTGAGGGTCTGAAATGAAAACGCCCAAGGGATGTAATTTTTTTTAAGGAAAAGAGGAGATTTGTTCGAAGGGACACAGTTGAGTGGCTTCGGCTGGACAATGAGGACTTGCTTTCCTTGCTACATTTCACCGTCTAAAATCTGTAGCCTTATCGGGCCAGAAAACACGGACGTCTGCGGGCAGGAGGTGGAGAAGCGGGAGGAGATTAACGAGGGGCTTATTAAAGAGCCATCCGTCAGCTGCTGCGCGCGGGAGATAGCGGTGGAGCGCGCGCGGGGCCCGCCTGCCAGCGGGTCGGTGAGACAGTGCTCTCCAGGCCTGACCTTCCCAGCTTCGCTGTGTTCCGGGGCCTCGAGGGCGGCGGCCGTTTGGAGCCAGAGCGGAGAGAGGTTATTTAGCAGCTTCTGGGGAATCACGCTCCCTTCCCTGCTGTGCCGCGCGGCGCCCTCCCTGCGTTGCTGTGGTTCTGTTCCCTTGATCCTGGAAGCGGCACGGACGGTGAAGAAGGGTTGCTCAACCCCTAGAGCTAGCCATTTCCCAGGGAAAGCCCAGCCCGGCCGCGGGGCGGCTCCGGGGTTTGGCCCTCTCCCCAGCACGCGAGGCCCGCGGGGCGAGGCCGGGGTCGGTGCCCGCGCGGGGGCAGCTGCCTGCAGCAGAGCTTTGTTCTATAAATAGCCCCCTCCCCCCGCCGCCGTTCCCGGCTTAATGGTCCGTTTCGCGCCAGGTCCCTTCGCCGGCCGGCGCTTGGCTTCTGCAGCCGTCATTGTCCTGCAGCTGGGCAAACAGAACTGAGTGAGCCCTGGGCGCCCGCCGCGGTCGAGGACCGGTGGAGGGAGGCTTGGGGTGAGGGCTGCCCTCTCTGCCGTCCTGGGCCTGCCTGGGGGGCAGCCTTCATCCACCCCCATCCCCGCATCCTGGCCCTCGCCCCGGACGGTGCCTTCTGCTGCCCCGACTGCAGGCCCTCCGATTCCGGGGAGAGAAAAGGTCTAAACTTAAACTCCCCTTCGGGGGACACACCCGAAGTGTATCGAAAGGGTAAAGGGCAGGAAAGAGTTGAACTCTAGGTCCACGAATAGGGTTTGCGTCACCTTCCCCTAAGGGAGAGCTCTTGGGCATTTGGGGCTACCATCCTCAGAGTGTTTCTTCTGTTTCCACCCCTCTCCTCCCTTTAGAACACTAATTTCAGAAAAATTCCAACCGGTGTGACAGGAGTAGAGGGCTGGTAGTCCGTTGAAGGGAAATTGCTTCCTGCTAAAATGCATGCCTTGGGGGCCACAGGATAGGAGGCTTCACATTAGATTTGATTTTGAAAGGAAACAAAACATCAGGAGGATTCATTTTCCATACTTTGGGCCAACTCTGCCTTTCCATTTTAATCTAGTGGAGGGCAGGGTGCAGTCTTTGGTTTTGACCTCCTCCTCACACAGACACTCCCACTCCCTTCTTCCCAGACCTTCATGGGGCTGGAGGGAGCCCTCTTGGCCTGATACTCTCCAGGTTGGTTTGACTTTTCACCTTAATGCAGAGGAACTAATGGTCCTCTTCCCACCTCCATTAGTAAGCATCCTCAGTGCTCGCCAAGATTCAGCCCCACCCCCTCTCCTACCTCTGTCCCACTCTCTTACCCCTCTTCCCTGGAAGCCAGAAGAAGGAAGCTGCAAGGAAGGCTCTGGGTCTCACAAATGGTACCCTTAGCTCTGGAGGCAGAATCCCCTGGGAGAGTAATCAGCTAGAAGAAACTCAGGGTCTTGCCAAGAGGTAGAGAGTGGTGTGGCTACAGGCATGGTGGCATGACCTAAATAGAAGGAGATGCAGGGAGCCCTAAGTTCTGGCTCAGGGCTCTGCTGACTTCCCAGTGTGTCCCTCATCCTCCAACACTTATCTATGCAGAAGGTCCCAAACTGGCTGCCAGTTACAGCCCGAGCTCATTTAGCCCATGCAGTGTGTGTGTCCACATTTCTATGTGTGTATTTAATTTTGTGTCAGTTGCCAACTTTTAAACGTAGACTTCAAATATTCTGTATTTCTGACTTCTCTTGAAATAAAAAGTGGGGAGGCGGGTAGGAATCTGGCAGGGTACTGTTAACCCAAAAAATTGGAAAAAGAGCCCCTTTCTCTAGGTAGATGCAATTCTATGCTACAGCTTGGCCAGTGAGAGCAGGGGGATTGGGCTTCAGGCCCCACTTAACCCCTTGGCCATGTGCCCTTGTGCCATGCACGGCTCGCAGCCCCACTTGGAAACAACTGGCTCTAGCAGGTTGCTCTCTCATTTCCCACACTTTCCCTCACTCACTGGGCCCCCTAGGCCTTTGAGTTTGGGGATGGAGGTAAGGAACCAGCAGCAGGATCTCCCCTCCACCCGGAGATGGAGTCCTCAGAGGGCTCACCTCCTGTTCTTGCCTCGAAGCCAGACAGAGTGCCACAACCTGACCAAACCCAGCTGCCCCTTTGGCTCTCTGCTTGCCTCTTTACCTTTTAAGAATGCTGAGCTCGGTTACCAGTCACTCACAGGCTTAAACTAGGTCCTCACAGCTGGGGTGTAGAACAAGAGGGAGTAGAGTCAGCTTCAGTCTGGGAGAGCCCTGCTTCCAGGACCCCTTGCTAGCCAGGGCAGTTGTCAAAGCACTGACCTCAATGTCATCCACTCCTCCGCTCCTGGGAGAGGCATATGGTTCTTTCCAGAGCCTCTCAGAGCCCAGGGAGGCCTGGGTCATTTAACTTTTTTGAGGCTCCCAGTATTTTAGAAAACAAATACCTTCCAAAAAATTGTTATTCCAATAACAATATACATTAAATGTTTATATTAGCAAATTAATGGTTTTTAACACAAATTATAACGCAAGATCAGTGTGCTATTCATAAGGTAATTACAGGATTTATAGAAAATACGGAGTCCTAGTGCACTACAGGAAGTGTGGTCCAGGACTGGGGTGCAAGTTTAAAGTTGTGTCATAATTGTCATCTCTCAACCCTGTCAGGACATCTCTGGAATGCCTGTATCAAGACCTCCTTTGGAGATCACATCCAAAGTCTAAATGGAGGCCCCAGGTCCTGCAGCTGCCAGAGGAAAGGAGTTAAGGAGTCTCAAGGTAGAGAGACTTAAGGCTTTCCCAGGGAGTGAGTCAGAGCCAACCAGAGGTCAGAGACCTAAAGAGGAGGAGTTCAGCTAGGCTTGACCTCACCTGCATCAGGCCACAGGGATTTGGTCTTTTCAGTGTGGTGAATTCCACAGCTCACTGTTCCAGAAGCAGGGGAGCGGTCCTGGAATTTAGGAGCCAGGTGATCCTGCATTCCTCTGGCAAATGAGTGCTGGCTCCTGGGTTTGTACTTTGGGGATTTGGGGGAGGAATTTAGGAAGTAGGAGAAGAGGTGAGGAAAGGATACAACCCCCATCTTTATATCCAAGTGCAGATCTATTATAGTGCATTCCCCTCTTCTGCTGTCCTGTAGGGTGTTAGTGATAAGTTTACAAGGTGCTGGGAAAATGAAGGTCTAGTGCCTCTGCCTTCCTATTCTTCCCTCCAAAAATAGTCCCTGCTCCTGTGTGTGGGAGGATTCTAATCACTGCAGCCTTCCCCCTGAGTCCCTCCTTCCTCCACCCCTCATCACTGAATCACCATCCTGGGGAAGTAAAGCTGAATTCCCCAGGTTAACTTGCCTCTCCTTGAACCTCCTGGGACTTTCCTCCAAGCCTGCCTGTGACGTGTGTGAGTCCCAAAGGATCTTGGTATCTACAAAGCCAGCTTTGGGGTCATCAAGAAGCTTAGAACTTTCTTCCTCTTTTCAATATGTTGCATTTCAGGCTAAGACTGAGGCTGAATTGGAGGAGATAACTGCAGGAAGGAGTGGGTCTGCAGGCCCTAGAGCCCCAAGGGGACTGAGGGAGGGCATGTGCTCCACAGTGGCAGTCTCCAGCCCTTGGGGCTCAGCCTGCTTCTCTATTTGCTGCTGGTGGTGTTTGCACTGCTCGCCTCAGGCAGGAGAGATTTCCACTCCTGAGGGGCAGAGGTGAGGCGCTTTGAACCCCACCTTGGGCTTGGAGTTCATCTCTGTGGAGTTCTTGGATGGCTTTCCAGCTTTGTTACAACGCTGGTCACCACCTGCCAAACTGTAAGCTCCTGGAGGGCCAGGATCTGTCTCACTCGCTCATTTGTCTCTGTCTGTCCCCCGTCCTAAATGCATAGCAAAGTGCTTTTCCACAATAGGTGCTCAATAAGTATGTATAGAACTAAATGTCACACACAAGATTTTAAGCTTTCTTATCTCTTTCTCCAGTACCTTTATTCAAGGAGAGGGGGTGGTACGGGGAAAGCTGCACTTCAGGTTCAGGGCAGAAAAATTACACTTACATTCAACCCTGTGAGCATTACCGGGTGCCGGAGGAAAGCATCTTCCCTCATCCCCAGAACTGGTCCTCACTCCCTCCTCCCTCTGCTAGTCCTCACCCGCTCCTCCCTCTGGTTGCACAGCCCATAAACCCAGTTCTGGCAGCGTCCTCTTCCATTGCATCTCTTCCCTCAAAACTCCATCCTGGGGCTGGTTACTGGAGTGGAAGCTGTCCAGTTGACTTAATTCTGAGTTCACTGTCACGTTCAGAGAGGAGAATGGGCTTCGCTCACTGTTTTTCTCTTGCCTGACTGGTTCTGCGCCACTGATGACGCTTGGCGCTGCCCCCTCGTCACCTAAAGGCAAGCAGTGCCAGAGCCCTTATATAAAACACAGACACTCAGCTTCTTCTCAAGAGAAGGGAGAACCCTGCTTGGAGAGTCAACCAGGCTCAGCTGATCCTCTGAGGCTGGGAGTTCAGTGTACTCCCTCTGACCCAGCTTCTTATGCTCCAGGCTTCTTGCAAAGGACCAACAGCCTGGAAGAGAAGAGCCGGCTTGTGAGCGCCTTCAAGGAGAGGCAGTCTTCCAAGAATCTGCTTTCCTGTGAAAATAGTGACAGGGATGGCCGCTTCCGGCGCACGGAGACCGACTTCTCCAACCTGTTTGCTCGAGGTAGCCGCTCTTCCCCAGCCCTAGTGCTATCAAGTAGGTTCCTTATTTGAGTCTCTTGACTTTTTCCTAAAATTTTACTTCTTTTGCCAAAAATGTCATCACTCTCTGAACCGTCATGAAACTGCTTTTCCAATATTTGAATCCCTCCTTCCCTACTGCCTAGGTCTCCATCGTTTTGGAAGCCAGATGAGGGCAGTCAATAAACTAATCAGCTCTAAAGAAACTTGCAGGGCCAAATATGGGTTCAGAGAATCTCAGATTCCAAAGGAATCTCACATGTACGAAAATCCAGTGTCCTCTTAATAGCATTTATCCTCCAAGGTTGACGACAACAACAAAATCACCCTGTGGGAAGCTGTGTGGCTGGGCCTAATGACAAGTGCTGTCCTGAAACTCATTTCCCTTTTGGAGATGTTTCACTAATTACTGCTGCCCACACGACTCTGGTCTCAGCAGGTGCTTTCCCAGTCTCTCCCAAACAGCTCGAAGGCAAACCCACCACCATCCCCTTCCATTAACTCCCCACAGGCCATAGAGGCCAGACCAGAACAGTAAACAAGACTTCACTAAACCTCAGAGATACTCCAGGGAATAGACACAGAACATCATGTACAGCCAATATACTCTTGAGTTATGGCTGACAACCTCAGTTGGGGTCCCCTACAGCCTTCATCCCTGGCTAACTCCCCAGCCTGACTCTGCGTAGCAGAGGCAGTAACCCAAAGTCACCTCCAAACATCCCAAAGTCCAGACGCAAAAGGATGAGGTCAAGAGAGAGGTGGGAATTCCCTCTCCCGCCTTCCTGAGCCCCATCTTCCAGTTCTAATTTCCTATCTAAGGACACCACAAAGCACCACCCTCTTCAGGGGAGACCTCAGCCTCTACTCACAGAGGCCTGACTCTCTGCGAGGCCTTACTCTCTGCCATCAACAGATCAAGCACATCATAACACCAAACCAAAAGCCCAGTGTCTGCACTGGATGTACAGGGACACACCTGGTACCGTGGGAGCAAGGCAGAGGCCCCCTCCATCACATACCTGACCGGTCCCCAGTTAGTCTGCAAATAGACAACTGCAGTGGCAGGCTGCTCCTGGCTTCTCAAAGCACTCCATTTATGAGCAGCCTAACTATCAGAAAGTCTGTGAACCTCTAGAGAGTATAAGCAAAACTTCTGTGTATATGCATATGTGCATTTCTCTGGAGAGATAGTACATCAGACTCCCAATGCATATACATATTCTAGAATGAAATTAGGCCTGTAAAGATATCATGGCTGATACTAGGGATTTCTGGGCTGAGGAAATCAAGACATGAGTCAGGTGACAACCACTCATGGGCTTTCCCCCCTCAGATCTGCTTCCGGCTAAGAACGGGGAGGAGCAAACCGTGCAGTTCCTGCTGGAGGTGGTGGACATACTCCTCAACTATGTCCGCAAGACATTCGATCGCTCCACCAAGGTGCTGGACTTCCATCACCCACACCAGCTGCTGGAAGGCATGGAGGGCTTCAACTTGGAGCTCTCTGACCACCCCGAGTCCCTGGAGCAGATCCTGGTGGACTGCAGAGACACCCTGAAGTACGGGGTCCGTACAGGTAAGGGGGAGAGCCAGGTGGACGTGCAGCGGGAAGCTTGTCCTCCATTGCACCCTTGCCATTGTGAGGATATCAAACTCGTGTAGAAGGAGAAACACAAACCCTAGTGAGGGAAGGTAGCAAAGTGCTCAGTGACCGCAGATGGCCTTGGGCAGTGACAGTTGGTGGAAGGCCCCACCCCTAGCAAAAGCCCATCATCATTTGTTGTTGTAAAAGTGGATTTAAACACAAATATATGGTGCTACGTCAAGTTTTGTATAGAGTTTTCATTCTTGGTTTTAGGCTATTCACAACCTAAAGAGAGTGAAGGGACCTGTCCCCTACTTCTTTTCCCTCCTCCATTTTCATGCCCATTTCATTCAGATAAATCCTACCCTTGCCTGACCCTGAAACTAGGGAGAATTGCACACATTTCCCTCCTTTCTGTATTAGTTCCTGGGGCTGCCATAACAAATTACCACAAACTGAGTGACTTAAAATGGAAATTTATTCTCACAGTTCTGGAAGCTAGAAGTTCAAAATCAAGGTGTCTTCAGGGCCATGCTGTCTCTGAAGACTCTCAGGGAGGATCCATCCTTCCCTCTTCCAACTTCTGGTGGTCGTGGGTATTCCTTGGCATTTCTTGGCTTGTAGATGCATCACTCTGATCTCTGCCTTCACCTTCACGTGGCATCCTTCCTGTGTATGTGTCTAAACTTCCCTCTTCCTATAAGGACACCAATCTTTGGATTAGGGCCCACCCTAATCCAGTAGGGCCTCATCTTAACTTGATTACATCTGCATAGACCCTATTTCCAAATAAAGTCACTCACAGGAACCAGAGGTTAACGCTTGAACATATCTTTTTGAGGGACACAATTCAACCCACAACACCTTCTAGCAGCTGCGCCAAAAAATTACACGCATACACACCCTTCGCATTCTACTCCAACCTCTGGAGTTTAGACACCCTGAGCCACCAACTCCCATCTCCAACAGGGAGCCCTTGAGGATGCCCTCTTGCCTCCTTCTCATGTTACAGGAACCCCCTCTAATCAGCATTCCTGGCCAAAATGGTTACTTTCCAATTGCCTCAAGTTCAAGGACTTTTTTGGATCTCTGGCTGGCTGTTTCTAGCCTAGGGGTGAAGCAGTGGTTTCTTCTCCCTACTCTTTTTCCCCACTGCAGCCTGGCTTTCTTGAGCTCTTGGGCAGATCTACAGTAATTGGCAGTTCATGGCATAGTTACCACCACAGGGGAGCCCCTGAGGCCACAACTGGTCACCCCTTGTTCTTCTTTCTTTATTCTCTCCCTCTGCTTTCTTATCCCTCTCAGTCTTCCTAGTCATTTGAAGATAAGACTGGGGAGGTTGGTGGTAATAGAGCTGAGTAAGGCTATTGGATGTCAAAAACAAGTGTTATAATGAAATAATGAGGCTTGTCCAAGAGGCATTTTTAAATAAGGAATCCCAAACAGCTTTTGAGGTCTGCCAACACCACTGGAATAAGTGTAGCTTCGTTAAATAACTGCAAGATGAACAAGACTTAATTATATTACAAAGACTGATTTTTAAAGAAAAGCATGCTCATCAATTTAGTTACATCCCACCTTGGTCTGATGGCTAACCTATTCCTGATGGAGATCAAGTAGTGTTATTTGACTGGATAAAAAAGAGTCAGAATTCTCCATGTGTGTTTTAGCTTGACTTGCTGTGATCCAATGTTTTTTATTCTGTCAGGTCGCTCTACACGTGCTTTCTTAGAGAGATGAGACCACATACTTTTATCATTAAAGCCCAGAATAGTGTTGTCTTTCAAAGAAAAAAAAACATAGATTTGTCATAATAGCAACTCATATTGCCTACAAAACTGAGGCATCACATGATCAGAGAACCATGGACTCTTATTAGTCCAGTATGAATCCACTTAGACATGTAGCATGCAGCCATCCATCCCTGTTCTTCAGAGCTGCTTCTGGGAGTAGATGTTTGCGTTTATGAGTTCATAATCGTCCTGCTGCTGCATCTCAGGGTGTTGACCCTGGCAAAGTGTACTGTTGCTGCCGTGTGAAAAACACAGCTCCTGGTTCCTGGTCTGTAATTTAGATGTAGATTCTGGAGCAATAGACTAAACTCCACAGGTAGCTACACACAGTAGAAGATATTTTTTTAAAAGAAAAGATATTAATGCTCAGCCAAAATAATGAGTTAGGTTTTAATAGTGAAAACATATTGATCTGGGTACAGTTTGTGAAGGGATGATGACGGCATTTGGAAATTTCTCTACAAATGAGCAAAAGACTTCTGAAAAAGGAACCAGAACCAGTATATATAGATTCTCCATGAACTGAGACAGATACTGATCAGCCCTCAGTCACAGTAGATATGCCAACTTCCTTAGTTTTTCTTTTTTTAACTTTTTTTTATGGAGAATTTTAAACTTATACAAAAGTAGAATAGTATAATGAACCCTATATACCCAACATCCAGCTTCAACTGTTATCAACTCCTGCCAATTTTGTTTCACCTGTACCCCCACCCTCTTCCCCTTCTTTTATACTCTATGGAAGAAAATCCATGACATAGTATTATTTCATCTGTAAATATGCTTCATCCTCAAGAACTCTTTAAAAAAAATAACCACAACATCATTGTTACATCTGAAAAAAATCCAAAATTTACAGTTCCTTACTATCAAATGTTCAGTCAATGTTCAAATTTCCAATGGTCTCATGAATGTCATCAATGTTTTGTTTTATTTTGTTATAATTCGAGTCAGAATCCAAATAAGTCCTTCACATTGCAATTGCTTGGTATGTCTCTTAATCAATAGATTTCCCCCTCCATCTCTCTTTTTTTTCTTGAAGTTTATTTGTTGAAAAACTTCACTTTGAAAAATTACCGTGTCTTTCTCCCCCTACCTGACTTTAGGCCATGTGCTGCTCAGTATTACATCTATCCTCTGTTATTTTCATTGAATATAGAGAGTTGAAATTGAAATTTAAAGTAGGTCGTTTTGTTACTTCATAGAAATTCTGGTACAGTATAATATTGGGGGGGCATAAGGCTGTAGCCATAAGATAAAAGTAAGGTTTTTGGACAACTTGTGTCCTTTATATTTTAACGGACAAAGAGATACTGTTTCACTTTTATTTGAGGGCATTTGTCTCTGCTATGCTGCATTGTTTTGATACATTGTCGAATAGTGTGATTAGATTTATTTATGATTCAGTCCTGTCTTAAAATGAAAAGTTTGTTGTTAAAAGTTTTCAAATGGATATTGCATATATTTTTTAATGGATTTCAACAAAATTAGTTATGTTCCAGGAGATCTCATAGATTATATTGGCACTGAGCAAAGTAGAGTAAAATGGGCTAGCTTAAGCTATTTAGAGTAGTCTACATAAATGTCAGAATCTGGGCCCATACATACACTAAGCTTGCTATTTATACTTCTTTCATTTTTTTCTGAAGATCAGCATTATTTTTTGAGGACTCTTGAGATGCAGAGATTGTTTTATTCTGATATAAGAAGTCAAGTCCAGATGTTCTGAATGAGTCCCCATCACATCTAGGGAAGAAGGGACATTCTCAGAGAGGGAGCTTAGACCAGGAACATTCAAACATGAGCTCTCTGACAGTTATTTCAGAAGCAAAAGCAATTTCCACTGGAAACACAGCAGTCAGCATATCTTTCTAACACCAGTTCTCTGTCACACACCCCTAGATAATCTATTGCATTGATACCTTCGTGACAGCTGAGCCAAGCCTGATGATGTGGGGTTGAGTTTTCCTGTGAACGCCAAGTTGGCCAAAACTTGGCAACAATCCTGAATTTGCTAAGAACAAAGCCTGTTAAAGCATATTCTGTGTTGCAAATGGCTTTAGAGTTATATAGTAATAACAATTATTTTACCAACAACTCAATGAGTGAATGAGACTGTGTCTGCCCCTGTTTCACAGAGAGGCCAGGTCATCTCAGCAATAAATTTAGTTTAATAATCACCTGACTATATATGGACAAAACAGACCAATGCTTGGCATAATATTTGACTGACACAGAGACCCAGAGTGTGATGGCATGCCCTCAGCATCAACATTAAAGTTGACACTTTCCCCAGGTTTGTGGTCCACAGAGCCACAAACCCTCTCTGAGGCCTGCAGCCTCTCCTCCGTCAGTAAATCTTGATTTTGGGGTTAAATCCTTGGGATGTTAAATTAAAAGTTGGAACATTTATGGGCAAAATCAGGACCACCACATCCTGATTTGTAATAAAAAATATAAATACAACAGAGAAGTTCTTCTGGAAATCAACAAATAAGACACTAGAAAGATTATTAGTTTCATGATATTGGATTTTTTTGAGTTTAAAAGCATTATGCTTTAGAAACATATAATATTGGGGGACATAATGCTAAAGTTTGGTGTAGTGTGGGTCAACCTGCTCTTCTTTCTCCAATATCCTTGGGCAGCCCTGTTAGACCATTGGGATGGAGGCCCCATAAATGTGGCCAGCCTTTTGCTTTGAACATAGCTTGAAAAATCTGGGTTTGCCTTGATGCTTGCCTGTTACTCATCTCTCTAGGTCATCCTCGATTTTTCAACCAGCTCTCCACTGGATTGGATATCATTGGTTTAGCTGGTGAATGGCTGACATCAACTGCCAATACCAATATGTAAGTTTCACATATTATTTTCATGTAAGCAACCATGATGTATGATTATGCCTTGTTGCTTTAAAAGTCCAATTCTGATGGTTCTATAATAATTTTATTACAGTTGCCCTAGTCATCTTTTCTCTTAAAATCTTTTAGGTTTATCACAGTTCTGATTTAATGGTAGATACTCAATAAAACTATTTTTGAATTTAATAATGCAATTTAATGAGTGGTCATGTGAAATAATAACTCTAGCTTTCAAAATTTGGTGTGAAATTTCATGTTAAAAGACTCCATATCTCTTAATGATATATCTAAAGAGGTCATGTTGTGGAGTATGATCTTGGTCCATTTTTCCATCTAAGCGCGTTAATCCTTATCATTTAGGTCGTATTTCCTTCATAGTTAAAGCTGCTATAAAGGCACAAACCAAGTTGATCAACCTATTGCGTAACTAAAAATTCTAAAACAAGATTCAACTGGCAGTGATACATTATATATTCCTTTCAAAATAACTGACTGTTTTTCTGAATTTGACATTTTTGCCATACTTCTTTGAGTAGGCAAAGCTTTTGTTTGTTTCTAAGTTCTTGTAAATTTATATGAAACTGACTCTAAAGTCCTGGGGCTGGTACAAGTACTACCTGGGTAGTATTCTTGCAATCACCCAACAGTTTCTTCTGTAGACACGTGCCCTCTTTGAAGACAAGGACAGGTTTCAAGTTGATGGAGGGTCGTCATAGCCTACTGAGTCCTATCTTTTCTCTCAACACTATGACAGTGTTTTATGATAATGTTTTACACTCAGACAATGCCACTATATTCTATTAAAGTATCCAGGGGAAAATAATAAAACAAGTTTCTTACAATAAGTTTTAAATAAGTACATAAGAATTATATGGGTTTTAGTCACTGTGGAAATATTTAGAAAATAACCATTCACTTTTTAAGTTCATGGTAAAGTAGAGTTGAGAAATGAGTTTAGGGGAAAGGGTGGTATTGTTTAAAATGAGAAATTCCGTTTGACATCAAGATAGAATGTAAGTTATTAAAGTTCAAGGTATTCTATTTTTCTTAAACAAACTACTACCAGCCACAGCACCTGAAAGGGCATTTGAAAATTATATATTGGTTCGTGTGTGTTCCAAAGCTGTTTACTGCTGTGACTCAAAATACTTAACTACATTCAGAAAAGTTTCTATTAATTAAAGATTCCTGCTTTGTTTGCTAATTTGAAACAACAATGACAAATTTTTAAAAGCAAATGTGAATATTGAAGCCTTTAGTGCTAAAAGGCATAAAAGATTCAAGTGATTGAAAACAAAAATGGTTTTCACGCTCCCTGCTCGCAAGTCATGGTTAACTTCATGGAGTGTCCATGTTGGAGCACCACGTGTGCAAAGGGCCAAGAGGAATTGGGGTCAAAGATGCAATTGCTTGTATGATCCCCTCAAACAAAAGTCTCGCCTTTGCAGTCTTTACTGTAGTCTGATTTATGAGATAAAAATATATCAGCAAGCACAGGCATCATAACATACCAATTATAACTTGAAAAAAGACACTAATGCTTAATTGGAGATCTCACACTAAGGAACAATTTTAATGAGAAAATACAGCTTTTTAAAAAACTTAACTATTTGGAAAATAAATGAGAATAATAGAGTAAAATGTATATATCCATTAAGGCCCAGGTACCCCTATTAATATAGGCACTGAATTCACCCATTGCCTTTTAGTGTGTATTCTGTAGGCCTCTCAGCTGCAGTTTCCTAATATACATAGCCCAATCTCCAGGTAAATAAAAGGAACTCACCCCTTTGAACCATTTATGACCAGATATTCTCCTAAAAGGCTTTTCTTCAACCAGAGAAATCTCACAAATTCTCTCTCTTTTTTTTTTTTTTTTGGTATGTGTTCATAAAATCAAAGTCTCTTGCTCTTCCCCTACCTCAGCTCAGCCATGAAGCACTAAAATATGTCCCAGCCATCTAAGGTCAAGGCTAGTCCAACTAAATGGCACGTAGTAATTGCAGCTGTACTGAACAGTGGATATTTATAAAATATGATCTGATTCCAACAGATCGATAGAGAAGGTTATTTAAAATAGTGAAATAGTTCCTGTCAGTGCTAGAGACAAGGCATTGTCTGAAGACGTAATAACTATTATCTAGAAATTGTTCTCAGCCAGTTCCCCTGGAAGATCCTGAAATGTGGCAGCACTGTCAGGAGCTTACACAGAAATTTCCTCCCTTGCGACAGTTCCTTCTCTAGCTGGGAACAGTGTTCAAAAGAAGCCTGCGAAAGAAGGACAAAAGGATCTTTCTTTGGCAAAGTAGGATTTAATTAGTGATATACTCATTTTTTTTGACCTGCACTATCATTGAGTTTGGGTGGCGCTGGTAATAGAGAATAATAACTGTATACCTCAGTATAGCATTTTTAAAAGAACTATCCAATATCCTAATTCAAGTGGCAAAGTGTAAGGTATCTGTTAGAATAGAAAGGACACTTGTGTTCATGCTTTTATACCTGCCTGTGCATATAGCTTTGAGATACACTCTTCCAACCAAGGACACAGTGAAGATCCAAAGAAAACTTCACAAATATGCAGTTGTCCATGGCACGTTCAGCTCTTTTCTTCCAAAACGGGGCCACCAAGCACGACTGTGCAGGTTGAGCAGTGCCCAGCTGTAAACAACAGCTTGCCCTCGAGCGCCTGACAACAATACGTAATCTCAATGGCACGATCTATCCCAGCCCTTTGTTATGAGGTTATGATTTCAAGTATCTAGTGCTTTATTTTCATAGAAATTACACAGGAGAAATTTTCTATGGGAGTTATCAGTCATTTTATACGACTAGGCAGGTTGTTAGAGAGGAACCTGCAGTGAGCGGTTCTCGTTTGTCATAGAAAAGCAGCTGTGAGGTAAAGGACTTAGAATTCTGCTTCTGAAACATACTAATGGTGAGATCTTAAAACAAAGCATGGAATTTTTCTGAACCTCAGTTTCTTCTTCAGGAAAATGGGGAATAATATATCCATCCTACAGAGTGGTTCTGAAGACTAAAAAAGGCACCAGTCTTAAGTGCTAGTGTATGCGAGGTGCACTGCACACACCTAGGAAAGACAGCCACCCCACAGGTCACTGTTGCCACTCGAGATGCCTCCCTTCAGCCTGCCAACTCCTTTTTTCTGTCTCTCATCATCTCTGGATACCAGAGGGGCTCACTAAGTTCCCCCTCAGGTGTGTTATCTTTTAATGTGAAGACGGACCACCTGCCACATCTGTAAGGAGGGGAACTCTAAGAGGAGTGTCAAGTTAGAGTGTCAACGCTGAATTTCTCTCATTAAAGAAGTTCCCAGTTTGGCAGTCACTGAGAATCCAGGTTCCTTGTGCCTTTCTGATCTATATTATAGCACATGGTTCTCATCCTCAGAGTCACCTCATGGTGCAGGCTAGCTGCTGGAGCTCTAACCATCACTTTTGTGTTCCAGAACTCAGGAAGGAGGGAAGGAGAAGGAATTGATGGGGAGAGGAAGAAAGGAAGGAAGAAAAGAAGGGAAGGGAGGGAGGGCAGGAGGGCAAAAGGGGAACACACTCTTTCCTTCTAAAGAAACCTTCTCAAAATCTCCACAGAACGTTTTCCTTAGCATCTCTTTAGTGAGAACTTAGTCCCATGGCCACACCTAAGGAGAGAGGCTAGAAATGTAGTCTTTGATCTGGGTGAATTGCAACTCTAAATAAAATTGAATGAAGCAAAGGAAGATTGATATTGGTTAGCAACCAGCAGACTCACACATAAGAGAAGTACAGCTTCTTAACAATCAGTTTGCCTTAGTTCAGAGTGAGTCCCGCCGGGAAGGAGAGTTGAACCACTAAAAAAGGGCTGACTCCCTACCCTATTTGGAATAAAGAAAGGCTCAGAACTCACCTTTAGTGTCATCCGTGAGTGTCACCATCCTACTGTTTTAAACTCGAACTTCCAATCCCATGTTCCTAGTTCTTGCTTCACCTCAGAGCTTGTTGCAGATTATGTTTCTTGTTCTCTGATTCTGAAATGTCATTTGTACTCTGATTTTAGCATTGAACCAGCTTCTTCTGAATCCATATTTGACCTTTGATCTCTTGACTTTATCTGCTTTCATCTGTCATTTAGGGAAGGGGCACCTGACTTGGAGTCCAGGTTGCAAGAGGAGAATCTCCTTCAATTGTATACAAAATGTTGTGCATATCCACATTTTCTTCCTGGAGAGAGGGACCATAGCTTTCCTAGGATGCCCAAAGGCATCTATGATCCCAATTAAGTTAAAAACCACTGCTCTAGGGTGAACGTCAAGGCCTTCTATAAGACTCTGGGTGCAGGCAGACTCCCAGTTGTAAACATGTCCCAGGATGGGAAGGCAGGGTCAGAGAAGTGTCGGGAACAGGGAACACCATGTTAGCCCATTTGTCAGGCCTGGCAGAGGATCAACAGCTATGGACCAATCTACCAGCTTCCAGGAGAGGTTGTCAGGACTAAAGCCATGAATCAGGATAAGCTTGGTATTAGCTGTGAGATAACTAGTCTTTCAGACCCAGGGAGGGACTGTCAAACAGGATGCAGCCAGGGCCAAGAACCAGATGCTGGATTCATCCTAGTAAGCTTCCTCCTCAAGGTTGGGAATGGTGTCTTATAACATCTTTGTCTCCTTGGTACGTAAGATGTCATCTGGCAGAGAACTGTCACTCAATAAGTATTTGTTGAACAGAACTGAAAGAAAGGTTTAGGAATTGGGTACCTGGTACAGATAAGGAACCTGAAATAGATGAGATCAGATAGTCTCATGATCGAACTCTCTAGACTCTTCCTCCTAATCCTGAGAGTAATGGCCATGTTCCTGGTCCTTAGGTAGGATCACTAATTCATGGAAACCTGGGCCTAAATTGATTCAAATCATGATGTGGACCAACCCCCTGGCCTTCAGTCCCATCCCTTCTCCCTTCTCCGTGTGGTTCCTGCCTGGCCATCTAACACTGGCTTGACTCCAACTCAGCTTTCATCCAATCCTTGATAAGGTTCTGATATTATGGTGGATGATTCCATTTATTCCTTGCCTTACCCCGGAAAGCCTTCTCTTTAGGTATTGTGAGATTCCGGCACACACTCTGCCACTAGTCCCTCTTCACCACGCAAACAATTTTGGCATTCCAACATTTCCAAAAATCAGTGGCACTATTGATAACACATTTGTTCGACAATGGTTAGAAGCACATCATGAGTTTGCCTCTTGGTACACTCAGCAGCACAGGCTAAACCAGGAATCCTTCTCTTCTTCTTCCTTTATCAGGCCATCAGACATGAGGGAGTGTTGGTTGCTACGGTGATGGGGCTCAGAGCAGAACCAAAGCATGATTGTGACCTCCAGAGGTGATGGTAACTGAACATATGATTTCCAAGGGTCTTTCTCCTAAATTTCAAGGGTCCAAGGAAAATGAACATAGTCTTTTTGAAAACAAAACTCTTCTACCAATAGATATATTCTGAGGATCCTCTAGGATCTCTTTGTCCTCTTTTACCACCATGTGATTAATTTGATTGCTTTTTTCCTCCATGATTAAAACTTAGTAGCTTCACCTGTGTCTTATGTACAACAATTGTTATCTCATCCTTGCAAATATATTTTCTAAATTATTAAGCCAGCAAGAACTGCCATTAGTCCTCAGCATTGGCATTCAGCCCAAACACCCTAATAAATGATAAAGTCTCCCCATATCACTCGGCTGAGTCAACCTAGGAATCTCTCTTCAGCAAGCATGGTCTGAACCGAGCTCACAGACTCTAATGCTTAAGAAGACCAAGCAAAAAGAAGAAAGACAAGAGCCTGAGAGTCAGTAAATAGGTTTTTGTTTTCTGGCTTAATTTTCTGTGAATGGACCTTCTTTGATTTCTCTTGAGGCCTATCCTTGGTACCTCGATCTTGTTTCAATGACTAGTCTACCAGACTGTGCTTCTGTTTTGAATTGCTTTGAGAAGAACATGGCTTGCTACTTTTGAATCAGTTTGTTAGAAGACAAAGCTAACCTACCAGGATATCTGATGCTCAGTTAGCTGTGTATGCAGTTGACCATCTTCTCGTTATTTATAATTGCCAATTAGAAAATCATCACTTATAGTTATTCTTGACAGATATTGACTTAAGAGAATTATAGAAACATAGCTGTCCTTGGGGATTATCAGTAGAAAAACCATGTAGATAATTATATTGAGATCTTTAAAACCTGGGTCAATATTTCCAATTTTCTTCACAGTTAGCTTTCAGATGTTTACATTGTTTTTAAAAGATAGGCTTTGGCTCTGGATTTTATAGATTCTATAAATCAATTTTTTTTAATGTTGCAAACCAGTTTTATGTAAAACTTAGAATACATTTTTTCAATTAACATTGGAATCGTTCTACAGTCTTAGAGGTGAAAGGGACCCAGAAAAGTCATTTTCTTTCCTTCTATTTCTCTGGGTGGACGACACCTACGACATTCCATTCAGATAAGAATCTATTTTTTTGGTGACGGATCCACCGAGCAGGCTCTTCCAGCACCTCTCTCGGTAACCCAGGCTGGTTTCTGACATTTTACTATTGGCGGCTTAATGCATTTCCAGGAAATGAATTGTTTTAGTGGTTTCAAACATCTTTTTTTTGGAACCCAAGTACAAATACTCAACCAATCATCTGTGTTCCCCAAATAAGTGGTTTGATTTCTTTATTTTCATTCTTTTTCTCACCACCTTTTCAGGTTTACATATGAAATTGCACCAGTGTTTGTTCTCATGGAGCAAATAACGCTTAAGAAGATGAGAGAGATAGTTGGATGGTCAAGTAAAGATGGTGATGGGATATTTTCTCCTGGTAGGTTTCTGTTCTCTTTCCCTGACTCTCCTCAAGGTTTGTAGTATGGATCCTTGGGACTCTTGAGAACACTAAACACAGAGTGAGTTCATGGAAGAATAATGGCCTTAAAAATAAATTTTTCAGTACTTGGGCCTTCCTATCTTTCTGGGTGGAAGCTAGCAAGAGTGCTACATTCTATGTGTACTAACTAACAAAGGCTGTGCATAAACCTGTACAAACCGACAAAGGCTGTGTCTAAATCATGCTAAGCAACTCTGGTCTGTCAACAGTAGTTTGATTAAGCTGGGGATCAGTGAATCAAGATTGTCAGTTGACTAAGTGATTTGACCAGCATAGTATATCTACTTTGAATCTCTTGTTCAATGTAGATACAATAAGAAACTTTAAAACAAGGACAGATATTCTTGGAGGTGGGAAGGAGTTTGAGATAGTGTCGGAGACAATGTGATTGTGTACAAGGGGAAGAGAAGAAATAAGAATTGCAATTGTCCAGGCAATTCAAGCTGACTGTGGATTTGCCTGTTTAATTGTTAGGTGATTGATGCAAAAGTGATTAGTTTGTGTTGGCCAGACGTAGCTAGTTACCTCAGTTCTCCTTATGTCTTTACTTGAGTAAATACGAGTTTGGATTTATTTTAATAAACTTTGAGGTCTCTTAAATGACTCAACTCAGTTGGGCTGTTCTTTGAGGAGAGTATCCAGGCAATGTCACGGTTTCCTTCTGTAGGCTCCATTACTCTCTCTTTCTCTGTCTTTCTGACTCAGAGAACAGATTCATCTTTGTTCAGTAAATAGATTGAGCAGAAAGTAGAAGCAGGAAGGTTGTAACTCACCTATCTCTTTGCAGCCACTGCTGCTGCCGCCTCTTATATATCTGTCTACACTTCAGGTGGAATGGGCACTGGAGTAGGTGAATCAGCCAAATTGCCTAAATGGCTTTGGTAATGAGTGTGATTATTTGTATTCCCAGGGCAAAGGGGCCAGAGGGAAGCCCTGGCAATAGGGAAGCCAGCAAAACCTGTCAGGATATTGCCCTTCCCCTTTCTGACCTCACTTGTTTCTTGAGACCAGGTCATATTTTGTTGTTAGAAATGATAATGGGGGAGTCCCAACACCTCCCACTGTGTCTGCTTGTTGATAGGGGGAGCCATATCCAACATGTACAGCATCATGGCTGCTCGCTACAAGTACTTCCCCGAAGTTAAAACAAAGGGCATGGCGGCAGTGCCCAAACTGGTCCTCTTCACCTCAGAACACGTGAGTTGGTTGCTCCTGCTCATGGATTTTGGTGTTTTCCAAGGGTTTATCTAACGTCTAACCTCAAGCCTCTGTTTGTTGCAGAGTCACTATTCCATAAAGAAAGCTGGGGCTGCGCTTGGCTTTGGAACCGACAATGTGATTTTGATAAAGTGCAATGAAAGGTAGGCAGGGGAGAGTGAATATTAGGTTCTTGATGTATTAAATGTGTTCATCTGTTAAATTTGTTTTATTGTGCTTAAGGACTGACTCAGTACAGTGTGCCAAGCTGCTAATGGTCTGTTGAGAATATCCGATTAAATTACTTTTTTGCTGCTGCTAAAGTTTTTTTCATGTGCAATCTCATTGATTCTTCATTTTAATTTCTCTCCTTTTATAATAATTACAGGGGGAAGATAATTCCAGCTGATTTAGAGGCAAAAATTCTAGAAGCCAAGCAAAAGGTATGTACTCTATGGTGCATCTAAGCTCTGGTGAATACAAATTTTTAAAAAATACCTTCTTTCTGCCCTAGACAATAAAAGTCTTTGATAATATAAGAGATAATTTTATTGTGTTTCTAAAATTCTATTCTCAGCTGTTTGCTTACTTCCAAGTTGTGAAATGGTTTGGATTTAAAGCTGTGTCTATACAGTATCAATTTTTTTTTTGAAAAATGAAAAATTCAGTCATTAAACCACTTGTCCATCTTCATTGTGCCAAATGATTAGTTTGATATACTTCAATAAATCCACACCCCGAGCATCATGAAGATACAACCTAATTATTTTCACTTGCTACTTGTTTAGGTATGATCTTATTTTAACAAATATCATTTTAGTTTAGGATTCTGTTTAGCAAAGTGCTCCCATGCCCTGGCACATGGCCTGTGGTACTTGGTGAATCCAGCCTCAATAAATTCTATTGAACAAAAAAATGTCATAGAACAGATTTATCCACAAGACACTGCCAGGTAGCTGTCAGGCCATTTACCAACTTGTTTTGGTTACATTCTTGTACCTCCTTCTGTGACTATAGTTGTTTGCTGGGGTCTCAGTAGAGGAAATGGATGGAAATGTCCCCAGGACTGAGCAAGAAACATGGGTGGAGCTGAGCTCCAAAAAAAGACCTGGGACTCATAGATTTCCCCAAGCCTGTCTTAGCCCTGTTATTCCACTTCCTCATTTATTTCTTGTTCACATCAAAATTTTACCATGTCCACTATTAGTGAATGTTTCAGCTTTCACAGTGTATAGACTTGTTTTAAATAACCAAACAATGCTTCAGTATAATTATTAGGTCAGTACACTTAGAACAACCCAGCTTCTCAAACATACAATGTCCAAATGATATTCAGAGCTACCTGCCCATCACTCCAAACACTTATTGCTACTCTTTCCTGCTTTATTGTTTTCCATAGAACTTATCACTATCAAACATACTCTATATTGTGCTTATTTAATTTTGTTTATTGTCTGTCACTCTCCACTAGAATGTAAACTCCACAAGGACAAAAATCTTCACCAGTTGTGCTCACTGCTGTATTCCAGCATCTACAACAGGGCCTGGCACATAAACATCACTCAAAAAATAGATGTTGAGGGGCCAGCCCAGTGGCATAGTGGTTAAGTTCGCATGCACCACTTCTGTGGCCCGGGTTTTGCAGGTTCGGATCCCAGGCGCGGACCTACACACCACTCATCAAGCCGTGCTGTGGCGGCATCCCATGTACAAAATAGAGGAAGATTGGCACAGATGTTAGCTTAGGGACAATCTTCCTCACCAAGAAAAAGAAGATGTTGAATAAATGAATGAATGAACCAACAAAGAATATTCCCAGATAGAGTATCTGATACCACATCAGCTTAGCTGATCTCTGTTAGAAATAAATGCTACTGCAATTATTCTACTTCATGTGGAAAGGAGAAAGGTTAATAAGTCTAATCAGCCCATCTCTCTTCCCTTATAGGGATTTGTTCCTCTTTATGTCAATGCAACTGCTGGCACCACTGTTTATGGAGCTTTTGATCCGATACAGGAGATTGCAGATATATGTGAGAAATATAACCTCTGGCTGCACGTCGATGTAAGTGCTATAACTCATGGAGTGAGTCCACTCGGGGGGTGGAAGCAGCTCTGCTTTGTGATTTGCCTCAAGCTTCTCCCAACTCCCCAACTGGCTCTGTCTCCACACTACATTAGTGCCACTCTTCTCCAGCCCCCAGCCAGCCATCCACGACTGGTCCACACCACAGGCCTGCACATCCTCTGGGATTCATCCAGTTCCTTACTGGCCAATTGGTATCTTCTGTGGTTGATGCTAGAATATGGTCTCCATCACCTTTCCAGGAAGCTTTTGTCTGGACAAATGGCTACAGAGTGAAATATGACTGATTTCAGAGGGAAAAAATATAAGATACAATGTATAGAAAGTGGCCTTGAATCTGCACACTCAGCTATCTGCCTTCAGGCCAGCCATCTCTGACATTTTTCTAAAAAAATGTGTATCTGGTACATGCAGGAAAAATAAGGTGGTATGTGGAAGGTGTTATCAACTGAGAGATTTAGTCTCAAATTTTCCCAGGAACACAAAAGGTACATTTTCACATGTGTGACTGGGTGTATTTTTTTCTTTGTCTCTCTCTGTTCTCTTATGGATAAAACTTCTCACAACTGGACAACGGGGTAACCCACCCTGCTATTGAACAAATGACTAACAAGGGCTGTTCTTGTGTCCCAGGCTATTCATTCAACATGCATCAGGTACCCACAAAAATGTCATGCTGTTGCAGGAGGTATGGTGGGACCTCCAAGCCTGGCTGCTGCTTTGTGAGTCTTTCAGGAGCCCTTGGAATTCTGCCCTAGGGAGAGTCAGATGGCAGGCTCCAGCCCTTCCTGTCGCTTCCAGAGCCACCCTGGGGGCTCGTGGAGTGTGTCTTGCTTTCCAGAGTACTTCGGTGTACCTGTATCACTCACACAGCTACTGTAACATGAACCTGAACTTTTGAAGAGGGCGTGACAAACAATGAACAACGGCCACTGGTTGAACAATCAGCGTGGGTTCCCTTTGTCAGAGAGGCTTATGTTGTTTGCTGTTTACATTCTCTCTCGTGTTTTACTAGAGGTGTGGAGTGACTGGTTTTGGATTCTTAAATGTTGCTGTTCTGCCTCCCCTCCTTTCTCTGTGCCCACAGGCTGCCTGGGGCGGTGGGCTGCTCATGTCCAGGACGCACCGCCATAAACTCAGTGGCATAGAAAGGTAAGGGCCGAGCTCGGGGCCTCCTCCCATTCAGGCCGTCAAACATGCTGCACTGTGGGGTCTGCTGACGTCCCCACATCTTATTTCAATCTGACTAAGCTCACCTGAGTTCGATAGGCATTTATTGAGCACTTATTGTATACTAGGCAGTAGGAAACCAAAAGTGATCGATTTCCCAGTCACTTGAGTCCTCACCTCCATGAGTTCACAATTTAGAAAGAGAGAGACGACTAAACATTTGTACACAATGTGATAAGCGCAACAATAGATGTGATCGCTAGGTGCCCAAGTAGGAGAGTAGAGAGACTAAGCAGTGAAGGGATTTGGAGGCTAAATGAGGGTTTTCCAAGGACGCAGGAAGGGGCACTGATTCATTTCTCTCTTCTTTCTCATTAAGCTTACTGTTGGGAAAGGGGTGGGACCCTCAGCTCACCTACTTATTTATTTTCTTGTTCATCGTTCAAGTTCAGTGGGTCTTCTAAGCCATATAGGATTTTGACCTGACTCCTAAATATTGATCCAGAATAAACTCACATTGATTCATTTATTCATTCAGCAAATATTTACTGAGCACCTGTCATGAGCCAGGCAGGCATGGATGTGAATGCTCAGTTACCTGCCTTCAGTCCAGCCATCTTTGGCACTTTTCTAAAAAATGTATATCTGGTACATGTAGGAAAAATAAGGCAGTAAATGGAAGGTGTTATCAACTAAGAGATTTACCCTCCTGAAGCTTACTTTCCAGTGGGCTAGATGTTCATAAACAAAGAAATATTTAATCTGGTCATAGTAAAGAAAAATAAAACGGGGTTAGATAACAATGAGTGACAAGGCACGCTATTTGAGACAGGGTAGTCAGAGGCCTGTCTGAGAAGATGACATTTCAGCAGATACTGGGATAAAGGGACACAGGAAGCAAGGATACAGTGAAGAATATTCCAGGTGGTGGGAAGGGCAAGTGCAAAGGCCCTGAGGCAGGACTGTTCTTGTGAAGTTAGAGGACCATCAAAAAGGCGAATGTGGCTGGAGCAAAGTGAGAGAGGTAAGAGCAGACTGAGGTTGGAGAGGTGGATAGGGAGCAGGCATCAGGAAAAGCACACCAGTGGCTTCTCACAGCAAGGACTCTGGCTTAAGTTTTTGTTACCTCTACTGTGCCTCTTCTCTTCTGGGTCTGTGTGTTGAAAGGCCAGTGACAAAGTGAATGGGACTGACTCTTTGAAGCATGGTTATATGACTCTACACCTCGGAGGATAATACAGTAAGTTTAGATAAGCCAGTCCAACTGTACTTTAGATTTCTCAGGCAATTTTCATTTTTCCATCTTTGAGTCTAGGAAAACTTGAAACATTTTGCGCTAGACTTATTCTTTTCTAACATTCTAAAGCACATATGTCTTTTGAGTGAAATCAAATCCATGTTGTACCTTATTATTTTCCATTTGTAGCAGCAAAGAATCATTTACTTCAGGCCTTTAGGACATTCAGAAAACCTTTTTCTTTAAGACATTTTATGATACCTAAATATAATTTTTTAATGACTCAGTGATGAGAGTTATGAGAAAATTGATTAAATCCACTACCCTTTAAATATGGCTTGACACTCATGCTTTTTAATGAGATAAGCATTTAGTCAACTTTTCTTAGAACTTTTCACAGGTCTCTTTCACAAAGGTTTTCTTCATTATGCACTTAGGGGAAATGTTCTTTAGGCCTTTCTCTCTTCTCCTTGAAACACAGCGCACACCCTATAGTCATGTATACGCTAAATTATTTTCCCTCTAAAGGACCTAAGCAAGATGAAGAGGTTAAAAATTCACAGCAAGGATTTAGCTCTAGGGAGAACAGAGGCAGTATAATTCTGAACCAACTGCTATGTCTGGGGAAGACATCCTTCACAGGTACTAAAACGCAGAGCCCAGCAATGGGCCAGGCCGTTGGGAAGGAGTCTGTGTAGCACTGAAGCAACTTACCCAAGATTTAATCCTCATACATTACACTTCGTTTTTTCTGTAATGTCCTAGCTAGTGCTCCTTAACCGTTTAATTGTGTCTGACAGAGTGATGTCGTTGCTAGGAGACCATGCTTGTTAAGCTATCATTGCAGCCTAAACTGGCAACCTCATGTTCATTTAGCATTTAAACAACGCTGCTAAGTAGTCAAAGTCTAGAATTGTCCAGTTAATCCTTGCTTTTAGGTGTCACTCTTCATACTACCTCATAAGTAGGCAGGTCAGCATCATTTTATAAAAAAGAACAGGAAGGCAGAAGGAAGCCAAAGTCTGTTGCCTAGAGAGTGGCAGGCTAGTGAGGGGTTCTGAGCTCTGGCTCTGCAATTAGTCTCCCTGGATTTGAATCTTGGCTCCAACAGTTCCAGCTGTGTGATTTTTGGGTGCTGTATTTAACCCTTTTGTGCCTCAGTTTCTCCATCTAAAATAGAGGTGATGATAGTCCCTACATCATAGGGTTGTTGTGAGAATGAAGTATTCCAGGCACGGTTATTAGCATTTTGTATTTATTAACTCATTTTATCATTTATTCAATTCTGCAAAGTTGACACAATTCTCCCCATTTTACAGATGGGAAAACTGAGGCACAGGGGAGTTATGTAACTTGCCCAAGCTAGCAAATGTCAGAGCTAGGATTCAGACTCAGCCAGTCTGGCTCCAAAGCCTGAGTTCTTAACCATGGCATCATTCTGACATAATGCCCATAAATCTCTCAGAACAATAGGACACATAATAAGTACTTCATAAATATTCTCTATTATTAATAGCAGTTATTTAGAAGAGGCAGTCTGAAACTTAGTACCCTGAGACTGCCTGCGAAATATTTGTTTACTACTTAGTTAGTCAATTTAGAGGACTAGGCATCGAAAATGTGTACTGACTTGAGTTGCGATGGGTGGTATTTTCCTTAAGAGGACAGTTGCCTCTTGCTTCCTCCTGCACCTTCTGCTCAGATTATCATGGCTTCTTTCAGGGCCGACTCAGTCACCTGGAACCCTCACAAGATGATGGGCGTGCTGTTGCAGTGCTCCGCCATCCTCGTCAAGGAAAAGGTCTGTACTCCCTCCAAAGATGAGCTGGTGGCCTGCACATCCTTTAGAAGGCATAAGAAGAGCAAAGCATGGGGGTCTTGTTACAGTACTTGTTGACAAACTCACAAGATTGACAGCCCGTTGAGACTGCCATTGCTGTTCTTTCCTGCCCTTATCTGTTAGCCTTCAGCTAACCCAGTGCCTCCTCTTGGCCCTCGCTCTCTACTGCCCTTCATCCTTGTTCAGTGCCCAGGGCCCTGTCAGTGACAGAAACGATAAGGACGTTATTTCATTTCACATTCCTTCATATTTGTACAAAAAAAAGTGAGAGCGATTGGGTGAGCCACCAACTCTCACCTCGGTGAGGACAAAAAGTGATCACTGGAACATACTTTAAATTCTTATCATGAATTGTGTCCCAAGAGCTGAAATAAACTAGGTGGAACATCAACTACAAGTGTCAACTTAGGGCAACCTGGAATGTTCACCAAAAAGCTTCTGTAAATGAGTTAGTGGTATGTTCCCTCCTTTAAGCATCTAATAATAGGACCCTGCCCTCGAAAGCACTGTTGCTCCAGTAAAACTTTTCCACACTGAGGCATTCCAAAAAGTCTGTCTCCAGCCTATAGGAGATACGTCTTTACTCTACTCCTAAGTAGAGTGCCTGTTAATTTCATAGGAGACCCTGGAAAAGACGGGAAGACTTTTTAGGGGGAGCTTTTGGAAAGGAAAATTCTTCACAACATGAGGCTGTCACACCCACTGCAGAAGTTTGTATCCCCAACCCCTGCCCACTGAATGCCATAGCACTTCCCAGTCTTTGAAACAACCCCAAACACCCATGCACATTTCCAAATGCCCCTAGAGGGACAGTGGGGCCCTTGTTGTAGACATCTGATACAAAAGATCATTTTCTAATCAGAGTGACAGAGGGAAAGTGGCAAAGGTTTTTCCAGGGATAGTTTTAGAGAGGGACATCAGAGCAGGTGCAAGTCTTCATAAAGATGTTAGAAGAAAGGCTGCACGTGACCCAAGTCCAGCCAGCCCTGTTTCAAAGCCATCCACATCTCTGACCTGTGAATACAGATGCACAATTGTCTTGATTTCCACGATAGGGTATACTCCAAGGATGCAACCAGATGTGTGCAGGATACCTCTTCCAGCCAGACAAGCAGTATGATGTCTCTTACGACACTGGGGACAAGGCAATTCAGTGTGGCCGCCACGTGGACATTTTCAAGTTCTGGCTGATGTGGAAAGCAAAGGTATGAAGGCGAGAATTCAGGAAATAGAGCAGAAGTGTAATTTGCACAGGCTGGCTGGCAAAAGAGAGACAAAGATATATCACAGATAATTCCCTATGTGTATAATCAATATCTGGAGAATTGAGTTAACTGTATTTTCTTTGTTTGCAAATGAAATCACTTTATCCCTTAAGTCAAGTTCTCCCTCCTTCCATTCAATTTGAATTAGCCTAAAGTTTTCTTATGACTTTCTCTCATAACAACTAAAAATTATGCCAAGATAAGGACTTCCACAGCAATCCTTAGGGATGCTGAAATTATTTAGTGCGGATGTAGAGAAAGAGATAAAGATAAAATTACTGCGTTATTCTGTGTAGAACCCTGAATTCCTTTATGAAGCCCCGAATCATGGGATATATGTGACACTTTTAAGTTCTATCTAAAATAATGTCTTTCCCATTATTTGTACTTTATACGCTATTCTGGGAAATGTATACTTTATTCTGAGAAATCCTACTGCTAGACTGAAGCACGCTGTGCCTGCATCCATCAGTCTTTCCGGTTGTATTTCTATATGGAGAAAAAAAGCAAACTATTGGAATTTCCCCCAAAATATGGGTAAGGAAGAGGATTATGTTTATTTCAAAAGTAGTTTTATGCAATCAGGTAAAGGCAGTTTTGGTTTTACAGCTTTATATCGCGTCCATTATTTTTATTTACCTACTATAAATTAATTTTAATAATTTTCATGTTTAAGATTGGGCCTACCTAATACCACAATGACAAGGCTTTCCAGAGAAATATCCAGTCAAATCTTTCTTCTCTGGAAGAATTTGATGGATTATTAGTTTTTTCCTCATTAAATCATTTTATCTTAGTATAGAAATAGTCTGAATTTGATTTCTACCACAGAGTAATTATAGGTATTTTAAGCATTTAAGTAGCCATAATTGCAACAAGAGAAAAAGGCCTATCATTTAGAAATATAATAACCACATGGTCTTTCTCAGTAATTTGTGTCTTCGTTTTGCCTAACAATAACCTCTTGAACCATCTGCCGGAAGTTTGGCTCACAGTGAATTGGTTGCTGGGGGACCCTGGTGTGGGCTTCATTCCCAAGCGGAAAGTGGACTGGCCAGGGTGTATGCTTAGCAGTGACTGCTGCTTTGCCAGTGTTGGACTTTGCCCAGGCCCATTAGCAGTCCACAGGCCGGCCAGCCTTGTGCATCTGCTCTCCTTGTTAACACCGACCCACTCAACAACCCCCATGCTGCTGTTATTAATCAGCCATGCTGGCTTTTGAAACTCATGCTCAACCAGTTTGTAAATAGTTGGAGCTATTGCAATCCCAGGGCATGTACTGAGACCAGTGACTTCCCCATCTGCCTGCCTGCCTGTCACCAAAAGGGAATAGTACACTGTTGTGTGGAAGATAGCCTGCCTGGGAGAGTAGGGAACATGTTTGGCCAGGACTTACTGCTGAGGAAGGTGGGTTCTAAAGTAGTATTTCTCAGACTACCTGTGGTGAAGAACCAGTTGGATTTTGTTTTTAACCTATCATAGACCAATACAACAGAGATGAATTGCTGGAAAAATGAAATTAAATATCATACAAAGTACAAACACCAATTTTTTAAATTAGAATCAGTAGACATAAAGTTACTCCGTCAATTGCTATAAAAGTCTTAGTGATTAATCTCAATTTCTGCAGTCATCTTATCATGAACCAGTTACAGTCTGTAGACTAGCCTCAGTCCATAAACAACACTTTGAGTAGCACTATCCTAAAGCAAACCAGAAAAAGGCTTCAGGTCCAGGCTATGAATAACTAGCAGGAAGCTAAAAGTCCTATGGAGAATAACTGCCAAGAGACTAGAGTGCCTTCAAAAGAGAGTAGGCACACTTCATTTTATTGCATGCAGAGCTGTGAAGAAGCTGTACACATTTAATTAGTGGTTCTTCCTAACCATCTCCAAGAATACTCATGTATAGCTCCAATAGACAAAGACAGCACAACCTTTTCAAATGCCCATCACAGGGACATGCAACTCCTCACCAACAAACACGACTTTTCTTTTTTTACAACAGGGTACAGTGGGATTTGAAAATCAGATCAACAAATGCTTGGAACTGGCTGAATACCTCTATGCCAAGATTAAAAACAGAGAAGAATTTGAGATGGTTTTCAATGGTGAGGTGAGCTGTCATCATGCACTAGATGTACAGGATTTCCTGAAAATCTGTTAAGGGGAGCTCTCAAAGCCAAATTTTCCCACGTTGCCAGAAGCTGCCTCTTGAGTTTTCATTCTTATGCTCTCTTCATTTAATTCCCTCTGTGTCCTTGAACTTTTCTTCTAGTAGCATGGGGATAATTTTTCCTCTTTGCCTCTTCTAAAATGGTGTAGCTCGTGGCCAGTGTTTTGCAGACAAGAGGTCTTTTCTTGGCATTTCTGAATCCTTTATCATTCTTGTGTGTGTCTTATTACTGTGTTGAACCTCCATGATAAAGAGTTTCTCAGTTCCAAGAAACTGATAGAATAGGTATATCATTGTCTCCCAAGACTAGTTCTAAAATGAAGGTCTACTTTACATAGATTCATTATGAGGAAAGCAAGATAAAAATGTCTCTGCCCTGAGTTCATATGCACATTGTACACAGTAAAGTACTTGTCATACCAGGATTCATCAAATGCCTGCTGTGTACCTTGCCCCATGCCAGGAGCTGGGTTATATGTTAATGACCCAAACAGATACTGTCTCTTCCCTAATGGAGCTTGCAGTTGGATAAAGAAAGTTGGAATAGGAGCCAGTGTTGAATAAAAGAAAATCCAAACACATCCCATTATAATATAACACCACCTACGTTCAACCTAGTACATTCATCAGGCAACCTAAACTATTAAGAACACACTGGAGAGTTACCAAATGAGCAAGAGCCCTGAGCAGTTCAAATCAATCATACAGTGCTCATGCATTTCACCTATGAGACCTCACTCTGATCATTTACACTATTTTAAACATTCTACTGGGAGATTAAAAATAAATGTGATATTTCAAGCCAGTTAGAGGCAGGCACAGTGATGGCAAACAGAGACTAGGAAGGAAACTGAATAACTACAACAAGAATACAGAAGAACTCAAAAAGCAAAGGAGTCTTTAGGGCAGGGACACTAAACAATTCTAGGCATCTCAGTAAGCCCCGTCTTATGGTTTAGAACCAGTATTAATGTTCATTATGATAATCCTGAGTCATCAAGAAAATATTCAATATCAATATAATAAACTCAGTAAAATGTTCAGTATCAAGAAAAACTATGTTGGGGCTGGCCCAGTGGCACAAGTGGTTAAGTGTGCGCGCTCTGCTGCGACAGCCCAGGGTTCGCCGGTTCGGATCCCGGGTGCGCAGTGACGCATCACTTGGCAAGCCATGCTGTGGCGGCGTCCCATATAAAGTGGAGGAAGATGGGCATGGATGTTAGCCCAGGGCCAGTCTTCCTCAGCAAAAAGAGGAGGATTGGCAGATGTTAGCTCAGGGTCGATCCTCCACACACACACACACAAAAGAAAAAGAAAAAAGAAAAACTGTTTCGAGCATCTTCTATATACGAGGCACTACAAAATGGCAAGAGGGATAATACCCTTTTTTAAAACTACCCAAATATAATTATTTTTTAATATTTTGATATTTAAAGGTGGTAATTTTAGTCATCTAGAAAATTGGTTATGGGAAATAGCTTTCTTGCCAGATATGATTGGATAAACTAGGCATTGTTCTCCCAAGTATGGAAATAACATTGGACATAAAGCTTTTTTTTTTTTCCCATCTGAGAAACTTCCACCAAGGATACAAAGCGGTTTGGGAATAGGTTTCTCGCAAATTCTCATAATTTTCCATTTTGTTTGTATATTTGCTTGTTTGTGAAAATCTCTGCAGCCTGAGCATACAAACGTCTGTTTCTGGTATATTCCACAAAGCCTCAGGGGCGTTCCGGATAGCCCTGAGCGACGGGAAAAACTACACAGGGTATGGAATCTCTCCTTGTCTCATCTCACCCTCTGCAATTTCTCTGGCTGGTCAGAATGTCCTCAGTCTGATGTGTTTTTCTAACAAGGGAGAAATAAAAAATACAGACTTGGGGTGGTAGGGAGCCATGTTTTTATAGTCTTCTTGGTTCTGGGTTGTCCCCTTGCTGTGGTTCAGATACAGTGGGAGCCTCTGAAGGGTACATCCCTGTCTTGGGTTGGTGTTCTTCATTCAAGTGGCTGTGTGCAGGGCAACTGAATAATATGCATGTTTCTAGGAACATTCCATATTAAACTATGTCTGTGGAAATATCTTTTACTAAGTTCAAGTCTACTCTAATGCTGATTCATTCTAGTTGTTGATTTCTATATCTGGTTGATATATTATTTATAGTTGTTGGTATTATAGCTAATTTATATAAAATTTCATTCATCCAACCATTCAACAAATATTTGTGGAGCACAGTCTATGTGCCAGGCGGTATCCTGGGCTCTGGATTATACCGAAGCCTTAATTTGTGTTGTTGCCCATAAAAGTTTTCTGGTTTTTTTTTTTTTATTTTAGTAATAAATAAAACAGTCATTGTTCTGTGACTGACTTCCAAATTCAGTCACACAGTACTTTCTGAGGGAAGTTATGATTGGGTGGTCTTAAATAGTCATAAGATATTAGTCACTGAAGAAACCTAGATATAAAATATTTCTTTGCTTTTGTGTCAGTGTAAATACAAATAGTAAAAAGCAAATTGTTCCTTTTTCCAACCAAGAAATGGGTTGCATTGTTAAAGAGAGGGTGGTGTTAATATCAGTCTTGAGTCTTGTTTTGTGTTTCCCATCACAAGGTGGCTCCCAAAATCAAAGCCCTGATGATGGAGTCTGGCACAACCATGGTTGGCTACCAGCCTCAGGGGGACAAGGCCAACTTCTTCCGGATGGTCATCTCGAACCCAGCCGCTACCCAGTCTGATATCGACTTCCTCATTGAGGAGATAGAGAGACTGGGCCAGGATCTGTAATTGTCCTCCGTAGGACATGAGTTTATGGGCATTCCCTTTCCCCTCTGGCACTCTAGAACCACCTCTATAAGTTACTGAAACACGCAGGCCATTTCATTGAGGGAAAATATAATATCTTGAAGAATACTGTTAAAATCTTACTTAAGCTTGTTGTAGTTAGCGGGAAACAATGTCCTTTTTAAAAAGTTGCACACAGGGCCGGCCCCGTGGCTTAGCGGTTAAGTGCGTGCGCTCCGCTGCTGGCGGCCCGGGTTCGGATCCCGGGCGCGCACCGACGCACCGCTTCTCCGGCCACGCTGAGGCCGCGTCCCACATACAGCAACTAGAAGGATGTGCAACTATGACATACAACTATCTACTGGGGCTTTGGGGAGAAAAAAGGAGGAGGATTGGCAATAGATGTTAGCTCAGAGCCGGTCTTCCTCAGCAAAAAGAGGAGGATTAGCACGGATGTTAGCTCAGGGCTGATCTTCCTCACCAAAAAAAAAATAAAAAAATAAAAAAAAAAAATAAAAAGTTGCACATTAGGTACACAGTATATATGTACAGTTATATATACCTCTCTCTATATATATGTATGTATAGTGAGTGTGGCTTAGTAATAGATCACAGCATGTCTCCCACTCCAAGAGAATTCACTTTAACACCTTCAGCAGTTACTGAGGGGCCAAACATGCTACAAACCAGCTTGACCAACAACCCAGGAAACTTGTTTTTCAAAATGTCGTGTTGTCAGGACCAAGGGAAATGCTGTTGGCGGGAGTTGACCTTGTTGTCAGTGTTTCTCCCACCTGAAGTGATGATGGATGAGAAAAACCACCCCTAGGTGACAAGAGTCCCACCTTCCCTATTTGTATCCTGTTAGGGGAAAATAGTAGCAGAGTCATTGTCACAGGTGTATTATTGCTGTATTTTGGGAGATTAATTTGTGTAGAGTGTGTACATTTCTGTTGTCTGACCTTGGGGAAGAGGGGAAGAACACATATATGATTTCAATGACTGTTTAATTGTAGGTAAATGAAATATTTGCTTATTTATATTCAGAGATTTACCATGTTAAAGAGGCGTCTTGTATTTTCTTCCCATTTGTAATGTATCTTATTTATATATTGATGCAGTAAATTCTGAAAACTGTTTATGGTATTTTCGTGCATTTGTGAGCCAAAGAGAAAAGAGTAAATTTAGTGAGACTTGTATTTATATTAGAGTGCCCTTAAAATAATGATTTAAGCATAAGTTTACTGTCTGTAAGAGAACTCTGATACTGTACATAGAGTCGTATGTATGGAAATCCCGTTACCTAAACAGCATCTGCTCTTCTATTACCCTCTCTGGCTGTATGTCTGATGTTCTCTATGCTTTTCTAGTAACTGTTGGATAATAACTAGATCCCCTGTAATTTTGTAGTAGTTCATGACCAATCTCTGTGACTCGCTTAGCTCAAACCTAAGGCAACATTTCCGAAGACCTCCCGAAGATCTCAGATAAACTGACCAGGCTCACAACTGTTTTTGAAGAAAAGAAATTCACACTGTGCATTTTAGAGTATGCAAAAGAATATAAATAAATAAAAATATTCTCCATGGAGAATTTGAACAAAATTTTCTTGCAGTTTGTATTTTATGCAGAAAGAGAGAGTTCCAATCATAATGACTTGGATCACCGCAGCCCATTCACTTTCTGCTAGCCCTCTATAGATGATGCTCCGTTTCCTTATTAAGCTGGGACTCTGCCCACTGTCATAGGTTCCTGAACCCCTTATCTATAAAATCATTTAATTGTAATTAAATAAAATTTGTGGGGATGGCCTGGTGGCGCAAGCGGTTGAGTGCGCACGCTCCGCTGCGGTGGCCTGGGGTTCGCCGGTTCGGACCCCGGGCGCGCATCAACGCGCCACTTGTCAAGCCATGCTGTGGCGGCGTCCCATGTAAAGTGGAGGAAGATGGGCATGGATGTTGGCCCACGGCCAGTGTTCCTCAGCAAAAAAAAAGAGGAGGATTGGCAGATGTTAGCTCAGGGCCGATCTTCCTCACAAAAAAAATAAAATAAAATTTGCAATTCAAACCTGGAGAAAGAAAAGCCATCCCTGTTTCTCATTTTCCTATTTGCATCTTGGTGCTCCATTCATTCAGTCATTCAACAAATGTTTCCGTCCTCTGCAGCAGGCACTGTTCTAGGCACTGGGGTTATAGTGGTGTGCATGGCAGATAAATTTTCCTTCTAGGGAAGATCTTAACAGCATTTGATGTCTGTGGTTTCTGAATACCTCTAAGATCACAGAATCATACCTTTCTGCTGCTTATGCTTGTTCAGTGGGCCCAATTCACTTTCTCAGGACATATGTCTTGGTGCTGGATCATTAGGAACAAGGGCCCATTTTCTACGGTATTCTATTAAAACTGTAATAATACTGTCTCATTTAGAATACAAGGAGTTCCCTATTTAGCCCAGGTAGGGTTTAGATAAGAGTCATTTGTAATTAGCATACTGATTGCATGTGTAAGCATTGTTTTAAACAAACTGGGCTCCATAGGGAAGTGATCATCAAGTCACTTTATTCTTTCTCCCACTCTTCCTTCAAATCCCCTCTGCTGGCTGATTCTTTCCATGCCCCTATTTGAATTCAGGCCAATCCCATAGCTTTTCTGGCCTCTCAGTCACAAGAACAGTCTTCTTTTAGCAACTGAATATCCAGCTCAATGTAATAAGCAAGACTCCAAATTTTTACACAATATAGATTTTCTCCCCTCCCTCCATCTGGTACTGTTTCAGGCTGCAATCCTACAGTGGCAGGGCGAGTGACGCTGGTGCTGGGGAAAGTTGGTTTCTTTTTTCTCTCTTTCATCTCTACTCCTCAGCTGTGGTATTTCCCCATCCAGGGTCAGGCCTAAGGGAAAGATGGTTCAAGTAACAAACGCACAATTTTAGGTAGTTAATTGTCACAATGTTAAATTGTCATCTGGCATGGGGGCCCCTGGCCCATGAGATTTTTTTTCTCATGGGACAATTTTTTGGGAGGAATGGGGATTTTTTTTTATTAAGGTAAAATTAAGATACAGTAAAATTCACTCTTTATAGTGTACTATGTACAGTGTTCTGTGAGTTTTGACAAACCTGCTCAGTCATGCAACCACCACCACAATCAAGATCTAGAACAGTTCCATCATACCAATAAATTCCCACATATCCCTTTGTACACAACACCTCCCCGAGTTCCTGGCAACCTCTGATTTGTTTTCTGTCCTTAGAGTTTTACATCTCATCACGTAAATGGAATCATATAATACGTAACCTTTTGAGTATGGCTTCTTTCACTTAACACAATGCATTTGAAATTCATCCATAATGTTGTCTGTATCACTTGCTCATTCCTTCTGTTACTGCATAGCATTCCATTTGTATGGATGTACCAGTTTGTTTATCCATTCCCTCATAGGGGGAAATTTGGGTTGTTTGCAGTTTGGGGCAATTAATATAAAGCCACTATAAACATTTGTGTGCAGATTTCTGTGTGAACATAGGTTTTCATTTAACTTGGGTAAATACCTAGGTATAGGATTGCTGGGTCATATAGTACGTTTAATTTTATAAGAAATTGCTCAACTGTTTTCCAAAGTGGCTATACCGTTTTGCATTCTCACTAGCAATGTACAAATTTTCCAGTTGTACTTTATTCTTGCTGACACTTGGTATTGTCAATTTTTTTTAATTTTAGCCATTCTTTTTGTTGTTGTTGTTACAGCTTTATTGAGATATGTAATTCACATACCATATAATTCACCATTTCAAGTGTACAATTCTTTGGCTTGTAGTATATTCACACAGTTCTGCATCCATCACCACAGTCAATTTTAGAACATTTTCATCACCCCAAAAAGAAACCCTGTACCCATTAGCAGTCACTCCTCATTCCCACATATACATCCCCTCCAGCCCCTGGAAACCACTAATCTACTTTCTGTCTATAGATTTGCCTATTCTAGACATTTTCTATAAATAGAATCACACCATATGTCGTCTTTTTTAACCACAAGTGACTTAGCATGTTTTCAAGGTTCATTCATGCTATAGCATTTATCAATATTTCATTTCTTTTATTGCTGAATAATATTCCATTGTATGGATATACCACTTTTATTTATCCATTCATCAGTTAATGGACATTGGGGTTGTTTCCACTTTCTGGCTATTGTAAATAATCACTACTATGAACATTCGTGTACTAGTTTTTATATAGATGTATGTTTTTATTCTATTAGTGGTATCTTGCTGTGGTTTTAATTTGCTTTGTCATGAAGCACTTTTGAAGGATCCCATTGGAGTCCTCCTACCTCATCATACACGAGGCAGTCAAGGACTCTCCTCTTGTGACCACTTAGGACTCAGACCCTCAACCCTGGACACCTGGCAATCTACCCTGCCCAGACCTTACATTGGGATCCCTTCTCCTCCAGGCAGTACTCCTGGCTGGAATCTCTTTTATTTGAAATCAATTATGTGGATTACATAAGGAGGGCTTTTTTTAACATACATGTGTAGGATAAAGAATGACAATAACATAATACTTGAGTACCCACTACTCAGCCAAAGAAATAGAACATTATCAGCACCTTAGAGCTCTCCAACCCCATCATGAACTCTTCTGTAATTCGATGCTCCCCTTCCCCAATAAATGATCACTGTTTTGAATTTTATGTTAATCGCTCTCTTACTTTTCTATCTAGTTTTACGACATATATATGAATCATCATTGTTTAGTTTTACCTGGTTTTGCACATTATATAAATGGAATAATACAAGATATATCCACTTCCGTGACTTGTCTTTCTAGTCAACATTATGATTTAGTAGGGCCTGAGCTAACCCGTAGGAAGCCTTTGTGCAGTTAAAAAAATTAAGAAGGCACCTCTTCCTTCGGGGAAGGCATCCCTGCGCCAGTGTGTCCAGCTTGGCATGTGGAGCATGTAATAGATTCTAGTGCCTACTGAACCCACTCCCACAGCCCGCAAGCACAGCCTTATGTGGCAGCTCTGTGTTTTTAAGATTTGCAATGATGCTTCTAGCTGTAATTCATTCATTTTTATGGCTGTAATGCAGTTTCATTTTTTGAATATACTTCGGTTGGCTTACCCATTCTATCAGGAGTAGATATATGAATTTTTTCCCCAGTTTTTTGCCTTTAGGGAC